CTCTGTAGCACACACGCCAAAACAGAAAGACATCAGCCGTAATCGATGTGGTAGAGAAGCTACAGTTGCTGCACATCAATCTGGAAAAAGAGAATGATAAAATTGTACAGAAGTGGCTCCTTAAAGTTATTGCATGTTCAAGAAACAATTAGTGATCTGATGCATTTCTGCAAAGTTAATTTAGAAAAACTGGCAAAAAACAGATCATTTCTCATTTGTCCCAACATATAAAACCAGGGCACAGGAATCAAAAGTTGATGCAATTTCACTTGTATATTTCAACCAACAATTATGTAAATAAGTGGCTGCTTTGCTGCCAAGTGACAGGTGTCTTCCAGTGCAACTACAGTTCACAACAGTCTGAACCGCAGCAGCTGTACTTCTGCAGCGCTCAATAAGAGGAAACCGTCTGCCACGCAGGATGTGGGGCGTTATTTATTTTTGTGGTTTGTTCAGACAAAAAAAGTGACAAGCCTACAATAAGCATTCTGTCAGACCAAGAAGACCTTTGTGTTACAAAGCAACAAAAAGGTAACGTCATAGGGCACATGAGTAAAACAGCTGCAGTTACGCTGCATTTTTGGTCTCAGTGCACAATTTAAAAATGCACAAAAAAAGCTGCTGATGCCGTTCAACAGCGATTATTGTAAATGAAGCAGATTTACAATATTTGCATGCATGTCCACAGGCTGAGTTTAGGTGCAAGTAATAAAAGTTGTGTTAATTGCTATAAAGAAGAATTAACTTTGGTTTGTACAGGTTCAGAGTTTCAGTCTTATGATCTTCAATCACCAGGCTGCAGGCAGATCTATCGGTTTCCACTTTGTGCTACAAAACTTTCATTCACCAAAGCAGTCTCATGTTTACCCCGGAGTCCAGAGTTTCTTTGACGATTCACACAAATTTTACATAAAAGAAACTCGAGCCACATTTAGTCTGACACAGAGAATGCTAAAACGTTCAAAAGCAGTCATTTGTCATGGAAAAAATGACTTTAACAAGAGTCTGGATGAGAAGAAATACCTGTTCTCACCTTGCAAGGCGAGAACAGAAATACAGAGTCAAAGGAGTCTGCTCTGACTAACAGTGGATTCTTGCTTCCTTTTTATATGTGCTGGTCAGCAAATCACATAGTAGCAGGGTGTCACTGTTTCTGGGTGTTTCCCAACAGAGACTTGATTGGATTATAGGTGTGAATCATTGATTGTTATTCACCAAAGATTCTGTGGAGCCCAACACTGATGGTCTTGCCATTTGTCTGTTGTTAAGGAAAGAGGGTCTGTTGCAGCCTCAGTTCTGGGTTGGGGAAGTAACACCTACATGGTGTCCTGGACCACAGACATTCCCTGCTGTTATATAACACTGTAGAAGTCTATAGGAGGTAGACTTCTACAGTAATATCATAATAAGATCATGCAGACACAATCGAAAGCACAAGAGGTGAGGGGCACATTATAAAATTTTCCATTACACATTGCTTAAAAAAAAAAGATGATATTTTATCATTGAAACGTGTTCCTATTTAAAACAATGTGGCAGATACTGAAACTTCCTTTCTCTCCCCCTCACCACCACTTACGTTTTCAGCCAACAGAGAGCAACACTGCTGGGAATATTTCAGCTCTGACTCGCAGAAATGTTTGTAAAACTACACTTCCCCCTAGCTGCCTCATCCCTCTCAGCCCAGCAGCATTTTTACATGCTTCAGCCAGCAGATGAAAGGTCTGAGATCAGAATATCAGTGAGATCAATGACATTATGACCCATATGCTGTCATGATCTGTCATGGGATGGTACTTGAACTGTGCTGAGGAAGTTAAATGGGAATTTGACATGAAGTAGCAGCAATTCTACCTGATGTGCAGGTTTGATTTTAAAATAATTATTAACTTAAATGAAAAAAAAATAAGACTAGGCTACATAATGTGTCATGCACTTATGTTACCCTGATAACCCAAAATTAAAACCAGTGCAACTGTGTGCATCATGAACCCATCTGCAGGTAATTTTACATCATGAACGCAGCTGTTCCATAAAAGCATCAGAAGTTTGTTAGAGAGCAATAGTGAACAAACAGCATCACGGTGACCACAGCAGAGAGGTCAGGGGAAAAAATGAGGAGAAGTTTATCAAACATGCCGAGCTTTGAACACTCAGAGCCATCCATCATCTGAAAGTGGAAAGATGTTGAAGCTGAGTCTGTAAACAATTCCAGGAGTAAAGTGTCCAAAACCTACCATGAACCGGACATGAAGTGAAACTGTCAATTATTATTTTAGTAATCGATTATTCTGAAGAAAAATCAATTTGAATACAAAAATTGGGATGTTCTGCGACAGACTGGCGACCTGTCCAGGGTGAACCCCGCCTCTCGCCCGGAACGCAGCTGGAGATACACCAGCACCTCCCGACCCCGTTAGGGAGAAGGGTGATTGGAAAATGGATGGAATTGGGATGTTCTGTTCAGCTTTCTTTATACAATATTAACAATATGAAACAAAGGCAAAATGCCCATTTTAATTTCTTTTTTCTAAATAAGAAAAAAAAAAAGTTCACTGCCTAAAAGTCAATAACAGAATTATTTTAGAGAACGCCTGATCATTGGCAGCAAAGGCTGCATCTGAAAAAATACTAAATAAATGCTTAAATAACATCAATACAGTTTCGCGCTGATCTGTTGTCTCTCTTTTAATTAATAATTGGATAGGAAAAGTGCTTAATTGTTTGGGGGTTTTTTGTTGTGTTTTTTTCCAGAATTCGAACCAGGTCATCCTAAATCTGTAATACTTGAGTTCTGACAAGTATTACAGATTTATATATATATTTATTTCCTTTTTTTACTTTAATGTATATTTTGTGGTACTGTTTTAGTCACTGCCTATTAATCAGTCATTAAATTAGTTAGCGATTATTTGAATAATCAATTTGTCGTAATTGATCCAATTAAATGTTTCAACCCAGTATGAATAAAAAATGAATCAATTATTTAAAAAAAGATAAAAGGCCTGTATGGGAACTCAGAGAGCCAGAATCAGGTGGCGAGAATCTGCTGTGAGGACATCCACTTGTCACACACTACACAAATCTGGCTTTTATCAAAAAATAACAAATAAAAAAAAGAGTACCAAGAAGAAGACTAAAAAAAAAAAAAACAGTCCTGAGGAGACATGTTTGTAGCTTCCCACAAGCCACATTGAGAACACTAGAAGCATGAAGAAGGTCCTCCAGTTACATGACAACCATCACCAAAAAAAAAACACCATCTTTAAAGTGAAAATCGGTGGCAGCATCATGCAGTGGGGTGGTTTTCTACAGCGGGATATTTAAAAGCAATTTAGAGAGACCAACTAACCTAACACTCACGACAACAATGCTGCTTCACCGTTCAGCTTTCTCGCTGGTCTAATGCATGTAAATCAAACAAACAACTCATTAGTAGTATACTAACTCAACCGTCTTAATCAGCTGTATGACAGGAAAAAAAATCATCTCTAAGCATAAGTTTCTACTCCACTCCTCGAGGTACGGTGTTCTAAAATTTTAGATAATTTTTAGAGTCTCTGCTTCAACACAAAATCAAAACATATTTACTTTTCTGACTGGTCCAGTCAACATGCAGAGCCAAATCCAGTTGCGGTGAGACCAGAAAGCTGATGTTACCCATCCAATCTGACTGAGACAGAGTTATGTTGCAAAGGAGAACAGACAATAGCAATAATGCACTAATTTCTGACATAAAATCCTAATATAACACTTTAAGAAAATTTAATCAAGAAACCAATTTTATCAGTTAACTGAATTTTTGGCTATTGATAACTTAAGTTTTTTGGAAAACTCTTTTTTCACCAATGTTTTCATAGAGTGATGTCAGTGCCCCAGTGCAGCCATCTTGTTTGATAAGCGTGTTTTGCAGCTTCTACTTATCTGAACTTTAAATAACCAGCTTACAATTTTTTTTAATTACAAGAATGAAAATAAAGTTGTAATATTAGAAGAAAAAAGTAGTAACGTTATGAGAATGCCAATATAAAAAATAAATCAATTTAAAGTTAAACTATGGTATAGGTTTTACATTTAAGGAAATGCTTCATATTTTAAAACATCAGCATCAAATTATTATTAGTAGCAGGACTAATAATAAACGATTGAGTTAAGGATTAAGTCACAAATTAACCAGGCCGCATCAGTCCTAGCGGCTTTTTTCTTATTAAAATGATCTTTCGCTTAATTTCAAGATGTTCTTTTGTTAAAGTTTAATCTTTATTATGACCATACTGTTGAAATAAAATTTTTAAAAAAGATGAACATAGCTTGCTCATAATAATCCATTGAACCAATCAGAGAATGGAATTAAATCCACTTTTTGAAAATATTTTCTGTCATTTGTCATTTCTTTTTCAGAATAAAAATAAATAATCGGATATGGTATGAAAAAAAATCTAAGGTTTTATTTTTAAGCAAAGTCGCCCAGCCCTACTTTTTAGCAAGGTGCTACAAAACTGATGGTACAGAGAGTACCTGGAGGCAGTGCACCTGGCTGCTTCACATGGACGTTAGCAAAAGAGGCTGCTGGCCCTTTAAAAGCTAAGATGGTGTCCTGCAAGCTGCAGAAGCTGCCTTCCGTTTCCTTCCTGTTTTCCTGGGATCTCGGTACATTTAAAATTGAACCTGAACTACCACTACCACCACACACACATACAGAGAGAGAGAGAGACACACACACACACACAGAGAGAGAGAGAGGGGTGCAGAAGCTTCCGTGTTTTAGCGTGGAAATGACAGGACTCCCGTGTGTGATGCACTTGCAAATGCAATTAGGTTACAAAACTCCTCCACTGGTTGCAGAATAAAAAGGATGCGCGTGGCTGCAGCAGACACAGCTTACTGACATTTAAGACACATGTTAGGCTGACATGTCAACTCTGCTTGTGTACAGGCAGATCATCCACAAAGGCAGATGTCACTGTTTGTTCCTCTGACCAGGAATAAGGTGCACTTACTTTCTTGTTACGGGTCTCCGTGTGCATCTCGGTTGCCGGAGCGGTGCAGCGGCGGAGGGGTGGAGCAGCAGGAGCAGGAGGGGGTCGATCGGGGCTTTGGGTGTAGCACTATCTGAACAAGAACTGTCAGAGGGGAGACAGGAGGTCCGCTCTTTTTTGGGGGCGGTGCTATTTTTTTCCACCTTTACTGTGAACGTTCGGGATATATAGGAACACCGATCCCCGCCTCTTCCAGTGTGTCTTTTCAGTTCATGTCCGCAGCAGCGTCGACGGCTCCCTGAGCTTCATCCCCCCAAAACAAATCAGAAATACGGCCGAGGCTTTCTGTGTCTCTCCCTCTCTCTGAGTCGGCTTGTTGTTGCCGTGTATTCAAGGGCTGGGCTCTCTCTCTCTGCCTTTTCCTCCTCCGCCTCTCCCTGCTTGTGACCCCACCCTGCGTCCCCACCCCTCATCTCTGTCAGTCAGCAGAGCTGCAGCCCTGCAGAGGAGCGGAGTCGAGCCCGATCGAGCCGGACCGGACGGACCAGGGCCCGCTGCACAATCCTCTTCAAATGCGAGCAGAGACGGGGGATAATGCATGCAATGTGCAGCTCATGCAGCCCCTTAATAGCGTGCAGCGCCCATGTCACCTTACTGACGTCATGCCGAGAGCTAATTGAGGACGCTCGTGGGTGCGGAGGGTGTGGACACATCCGACAAAGCTTCACCTTTGACAGATAAAACACTCATATAGACGAAAGAATAGTCGCAAGAGCCAAATATGATTAAATATATCAGTTATGAGATGAATATGTACATTAATAAAATGATCAAATTATGTATCTTTTTTAAAAATGTAGATTGTTCATATTTGAACAGTAAACCTGTTCAAATATGATTCTTTAATTAATAGTTAATTCATTAATAGTTTGTTAAAAGTTATATATATATATATATATATATATATATATATATATAGATAGATAGATAGATAGATGATAGATAGATAGATAGATAGATAGATAGATAGATAGATAGATAGATAGATAGATCTATATCTATATCTATATATATATAGATATATCTATATATATCTATATATAGATATATATAGATATATAGATATATCTATATATATCTATATATATCTATATATATATATATACATATTTTAATAAATTTAGTATATCCACACATATATACACACATGACATAGGACCATTCTTTAAAATAGTTAAATTCATTGTTTAAAAAAAGTGTAAAGAAAATAAGTAATTATTTAAACTTGAATTATTTTTAAACTACCTTCTGTCAAATAACTGAGTTGTCCTATAGTTGAATGATGGCTGCATTATCAAGGTGTTTATGTGCACTTGCTAAGCCAAACAGTTTAAATAGTTTTATGATAGAGTATAAATAATTAGCTAAACACTGTATGACATTTTGAAAAATATAAATAATATTTTGAACATTTAAAATCTTGTTATACTTTTTGTCACATTTTGTATTTAATGTTTTTGGAACGGTGCTGTTTAAAGGGTTATGGAGACAGATATCTGTTTAACACATTAATTAGTTGTTATTTTGAAAAAAAACAGCCATAACTATTGAAAGGCGGGTTTATAGGTTTATAGGCACACCCGGAGTAAATCAGGGTGTGGATTGTATCGTCTTTATTTCCTTGTACATATTTTGCGATAGAAAAGAAAATATGCAGGCTTGTCAGGACTTATTTAGATTTTTACAAAGGCGAAACGTCATTGGAAACAATAGCTTTTTAAGAAATTCAATTAAACTTTTTTATTTCATTTAAATAAACACCCTGTTTCATTTTGTCTTCTAAATCACTCTCACCTAATTTATCTATCAATTAATTTTTAAAGATAAAACCAACCTTATGCGTTGAACAGGTCGAAATTCAACTTCATTTCCCATAATTCCTTGTTTCCGGATTCGGAAATCTGAAACGGGAAACATGCGAAGGTAAACAGCACTTTCTGTGTGAGATACAGTTGTTTTTTTAAGCATTTCCTTAAGCTTGACTTAAAAACATTTGGTTTCAGTCTCACTTTAATTTCGAAATTGTGTGAAAATGCAGACCCAGAGCTGTTTTCGCTTTTGCGTCGCTTAGTTCGTCATGTTCCTCTTGTTGTCATGGAGATAGCGCCACCGTTCCAAGCTAGCAGTTTAAAGTTTAAGTGTTTATAACGGTTTTATTTGAACATACGTTAAGTTTTATCGTGTACCGTTGTGTTTAATGCTCACACGGACTTTCTGCTGCACAGCTTGTTTCCATGCAGACCCCGCAGGTTGTTTATTTCGCTCAAAATGGGAAACGTAACAGAAAATGAAGCTGAATTCACCATCTGTCCACCGCTGTGCTTAGGAGGTTTTACACTAACACATTTTGGGCTAATATCTCCAAAGGTCATTGTTTCAGAAGCCTTTTGGGTGCTTCTCAGTTTCCTGGGAACTGAAATCCCTTTGTGAATAAGTTTTCTAACTGTAGAATGAATAATAATAATATCGTATTGCCTTCCCAGAGTTATAGGCCAATGCCTATAACCTTTGCTTTTCAATGGCAGTTGATGGAATTTCAACACAATTGCTCCAGACTATCAAACTGATCTGTTTTTGTGGAGATAGTCAAACTTCCTGTTAATCAATGAGATTTCAATAGCATCACCTGACTGCTTCATTCCCTTTTACTTGACAATGGCTGTTTCCCCTGTTAAATACTAACAAGATAGTTTGATTTTCCCAAAGCTGCATTTACATTGAAAACAACATAGTTGGAGCAGCTCTGTTCATTTAGTTCTGATTTGTAAGATTTTATTCATAATTTTATTCGTTTGAATTATTGCTTTTTTTGGATAATTTTTCCCTCTGGTTTTGGATGGTATTCAGCTGAGGAGACGTTTTCCTCTCACGAGGTCATTTCTTATGTTGCATGACATTGGTGACAAGGTGTTTTGTTTACAATTTTTTTACATTGACGTAAACAATTCAAAAGAATATTTGCTTCCTGGATTTTTAACTTTAACAATAATCATGTCATGTACTCAGGACACTTTTATTGGCAGTAGGAGTTGGTTATATGAACTTTAAAAAAAAAAAAGTATCATAATAGTTTGTGGTATTTACCCTAACAAAAATATTAAGAGGTGATGCAATAGTCAGCACAATTTTTATGACAAATCAGATATAAAACACAAAAGTATGATAAAGATGCCCATTTTAATAGCAAGTTTAATTTATGTTAACCATTTAAGAAATAAGAAAACTGTTCAAAAACCATATTAATAACTTCAAAGTCTTCCATGTTACTCAAGTGTTTGATTGCAGAAAGAAATGCATACTAATGTTGCTACAAATGGTTCCAGATGTAAATATATTTTATCACTGTCTTCATGAAGGAGATATGCATATAAAGACACACATCAATATGTGTCTGAGTGGCATTAAAACGGGACATCACATCAACCAGTGATGTCCTGTTTCATCTTTATTTCTCTTGGTTTTGCAGCAATACATAAATTATGAAACCTAAAGAATGATATTTTTTACTAAAAAAAGAATTTGGGCATCTCATTATATATTTAATAAATCGATTTGAACAATTTTACACTTTACTCAGGAAGTATTGCTTCTTGCTCATGAAAGATTCCTTTCTTTAATATAAAAAACTCTTGTGACCAAAACAAAGTCCACTCTTAATGCTCTTCTTCTAAGTCTTGTGTTGTTGCACAATTCCCAACCGCGGGTGAAGTGAGAAACGATTGCAACATCATTGTATTATGGTTCAGTGTCAGTGTCATCAGAGCCCTGAGTATTGAAGTGTCTCCTCAGAGTGAGCCGGAGAGCCTGCGAGGAGGGCCCCCTGCTGGAGGAGCAGGAGACAGAGGGCCAAAGGCAGCTGCACAGTCTGCTGCTGCAGCAGCTCCACACTGGCGTCGACGTTGACCGGTCAGAAACCGCCTGTTTGTCTTTGCTTACCAAAAAATTTGGATCAAGTTTGTAGGTTAGCTGAGGCATTCCCTTCACTGTACAATTTATTATTAAGTCATATTTCCCCCCTAGTTTATAGGGGGAAAATATGACCCGCTATAAACTATTGTTGCCTGTTCTTTAACACAACAAAAAGCTTAAAGAACAAGCTTATTGTTCTTCAAAATAAGCTTAGAGAACAATAAGCTTTCCTTATTGTTCTTTAATAAGGCAAGCTTTTGCATTTTGATGAGTCCAAAATTAGCATTTGTTTTTTTCTTTTTTGTGTTTGTTTTTTTACGAACATTTGGATAAACACTCCTATCAAATATTCTGCTATGTGTCCCACAGAGCTTCATGGAGAACCTAATTACTCTTAGCCCTCAGGGCTACAGGATCTTACTGAGTTATCTTTCCTTGTAAAACATCTGAGGCACACATTCAGACCCTTCACCTATGAAGCCAAATGTCTTTGAATTTCCCTGCAGCTGCAGGTAACGAGTGTTTTTACATCACTTTGAAACCAGCTCCGTCTTATAGATGTGTAGCAAAGAGGCAGTGCTTCGCCCCGGCGTCGCTCTATAGGCCGTTTGGGGAACAGGCAGCAGGAGTGAGGAGCCTGTCCCAGTTTCAGGCTCTGCAGGATGGGGAGAAGGAACTAGTCGCCCTGCAGGAACTGGGACTCACAGAAGCTGAGATCCAGCTGTGGCAGAACAGAGACGCACCAGACATGTCAGGAGACAAGGTTGCCGCTCAGAAATTCAAAAACTTTTAGGTAACTTTCAGAGACCAAACCAGCTGAACCTCGTCATGTCTCACAGTCCAACGGTGTGTGTGCGGCTCCAGACGCAAGGCGGCAGCGTCTGCAAGCGATCAGGGACAAGATCGAAGCTAGAGCGGAGCTGCTGTCCCGACCGCAGCGCTTCTCCGCCAGCCGACCGCTCTCGCGCCGGGAGATGGAGATCGAACAAGCGTTGTTCCAGGGCAATGACCGGTTGGGCTTCCTCACAGCTCTCTACCATCGAGGTATTGTTCAGCAATATAAATCAAATAAATAAGTTAATCGCAAGATAAACTCAAATAAGTGCGATCATTTTCATTTCAAAGAGAGAAGGATGACAAAATTCTTCTGTCTGGTGGTTTTGGTCTCAACCAGCCCTTTTTTTTGGAGGGCAGTTTTGTTCACAAAGACTTTATGATTCATTTTATTTGTTGTTTTTTTGTTTTCTTTATTTATTTTGGATGTTTAAAGTGTCTTGTTTCAGTGAAAAACTGGTCATTACAACTTAAATTTTGCTAATATTTTAGAATGTGTTCCTGCATTAAAATGTCATTACATTACTAAATGGTCTCAAAAATCAATGTTATTGTTGATCACAATAACTTCTGGGAATTTATTGTCCAACAAAATTTGTTTTTGTGACAGATCTATTTGTTTGCTTAGTTTGGATATTTAAAAGGTGAGTATTGTTTAGAAATGAAAAGGTTTTTTCTTTATTGTTTATTTGAAAATTTGTCATTGTGACAGGCCTGCGCGAATGTTAACTGAGTCAGTCGTCAGAGAAGAGGTGAAATTAGCGTAGATTTCAGAGAAAATCTTTTGTCCCAAACCAAGCTCAGAAAATAACGTTGAATCTTGATTTTCTGCTTTAAAATGACGTTTCTGAAAAGGTGGAATTATGTTTTCTCCCTTTTAGGTTTTAAATTACACCCTTCACACGTCTTCAGAGCATTTATAGAAACCACATGTAGAGATTTTCTTTGTCTAACTTACAGCTTGGAATGGCTCTTTGTTTCCTTGTCAATTCCCTCCATTCTTCAGCTATTTCAATTATTCTGCACAAAATTAGACTCTATAATGGTTTAGATACAAGTTCAGTAAAGAAAAGGAAGAAAACTAGATGATATGTTCCCTTTTACATTAACACAACTAGCATCGGGATATCATATTAGGATGTTAGGTGATAGGCCAACAACAAGTAACGGGGGAGTATAAATGGTCCTAATTATTATTTTTTAAAAACTGAAACAATGAGGTTTGCATTTTTGTTTGGTCTCACTGAGTAAAGACAGTCGAAATATCACAATAACGAGAAAATATGTCAAAGATTTATTTATCAATGCCTTAAAAATCATCAATGTCTCTTTAAGCAATGAGGTAAAGCTTTGATGATGATGTCATGGCTTTGGAAACCTATAATACGCCTGTTCTGACTGGAGGAATGGGCCAGAACTCCAGAAAACTATGGTGGAAAGCATGAGAGAAACCCAAAAAAACTTGACACAATCATACAGTTCAAACCAAATACTGAGGAAACGTACGTAAACTTCTGTTTTCGAAGATGTTAATAAATAAATCTCTAACATATTATTTGGCTCGTTATTGTAGCATTTAGCAACTAGAACTTTGGTTACAAGAAAAGATGGGGCAAATTGATTAGATTTCTTGAGAACAATTACTGCAGTATGAATCACAGACTTTTGAAAATATTGTTTCATACTTGTAACTTTTTCTACCTTTTTAATGGAATGTGAATTTCCACTCACATTTCCATTGTTCTGCTTGATAAATGGAAAGCAGTCAATAAAGACTGAATTTAAAAAAATAGTCATTTTGGTAATTCTAACCTAAAGCAAGAGAAGTTTGGCCTGATTTGACTTCAGACAGAGAGGAAAATTAATCCATCTTCCAATCCACTCTGACCCCAATACCTCAAGTGGAAAGCATCTCAATAGCATAATGCTGCCAACACCATGCTTTTCCACAGAGATGGAGTGTTCAGGGAAATGTCCGTTATTATTTTCCATCAGCCAAAACATTCTATTTTGAAGAATGTTTTGGCTTCTTCTGAAGGGTTTTGGTTGCCCCGGGGTTTATTTTGGGATATTCTGTATTATCCAGTAGTTTGTGGTTGTAAAGTGACAGAATTGTCTTTGATGTGTGTTCCTTCCAACCCAGACGGAAACACAGAAAAGAGCCAGCAGGGGGCATCATCCTCTGACCCAATGGACTCACTCTACAGAGATGTTCTAAGGTGTCAGAAACACATTTCACCAGAGGACTCTGAGGGTCAACAAGCAGTGGGATCAACATCGGGTTATACAACTGACCAATCACAAAGCTCTCAGAGCCATTCACCTCGCTGCAGGTCAGATCTGCAGAGTGAAGACACCTCAGAGCATCAGCAGGGCAGAGCAGAAACAAAACCACCAGCTCCTCCTGAACGGATAGATCTCAACCAGCCAATCGGCAGACTCGGCAGAGCATCGGGAGCGAAGTCAGGAAAACTGCTAACCATCAGCGGGGAGATCAAGACACTTCCAGACGAAGAAATCCTGAACAGCCGTGAATCTGACGAGGGGATCCGGAGCATGGCACGGTTCCAAAACTACCAGCCAGGAAAACCTTCCAAGGCACTTTAATCCTCCTCTTATATGAAATGTTAAAAGAAACTTCCTCAATAACATGCTCATCAGCTCCTGTAACGCTGCATGTTTTGTCTCGCTGTAGGTTCTGTGTGTGAAGAACCTGAGTGCGCAGGCATCCATAGCACAGCTGGTGGCGCTGTTCTCCAGATTTGAGCAGAAGGATGGGCCTCCTGTTGTGTACCGACTGCTGACAGGAAGGCTGAAGGGTCAGGCCTTCATCACGCTGCCAGGTGAGAAAGCAGTTTTACTTCCACTCATGTGGAATCGATGGAGTGTTCACATGTTGAACTCTGAAGCACCAAAACCCAGAAAAATCCTGAAAAAGTAGAGTTTGTGGTCAAATCTTAAATGATATCAGAGTTCATGTCTCTTAAACTAACTGACCCAAAACAGGAAATATTTAGTCAGATGTGAGGAAAACAAAAATCTTTCATCTTTTTTCAAGTACATTTAATAAATTGTATCACTGTACATGTAATAGAACAGGTTTCTGCAGAAGATAGTAAGAGGAGCTGACTGGAATTGAATACAAATGTGGTTTAGATGTGTGCAAACTTATGCAAATCAGGTGACTGATTTTATGTTTTGCATTTCCACCTAGGAAATTTGTTAGCCTAAGTAGATAATCTCAGTTTAAGGTATCTTGTAAAATAATGTCTCTTATTTATGGTAAAATCCAGCAACTGTACATAATAAACCAACAATACTGGTTATGATGCCCCAAGACAAACAGACAGACCAACCGTTTCTGTTTTTTGTAGTAAATGAATGACCCCGTACATATTCTTGTATGGATGTTTCTTTGTGTGTTTATTTTTCTGTGCCAGACTCTGAAACGGCCCAAAATGCCCTGCGGTTGGTCCATGGATACCGGTTGCTCGGGAAACCTTTGGTGGTTGAGTTTGGCCGGGAGCGACAGGAAGAGGAGAAACAGATGGAGCAGGAAGGAGAGAAGGAGATGAAAATAAAAGAGCAAAGAAACAGCAGAAATCCATCAGACCTGTTAAATATCAGCCTGTAAAACTGCACAACATGATATTTATGTCTTCCTGGAAAAAAACAGAGTGTTGTATCTTGAATTAATAAATCTTTGTTTTTCAACCCATTGCCTCTTTTTACTCTTGGAGCATAGACTTGGCTCTAATGTTTATAGACTTATTTTATTGTCTTATGTAAATGTGACTAATACAAATAAGCTGAAATCATTAACTAGCGTAGAAAAGTTGATTTCTGATTTATTCTGTTTACATTTTATTCAAACAATTGTAGAAGATATTTTGTTTTGTAGTGCCTCTTTTAGTTATTCCATTTATATATTTTCATATATATTTTGCAGTCATTTTAGTAAGTGTTATAAGACATAAAATATTTTTAAACCCAAGAGATTTTTAAGGCCTTCTTGACCTCTGGGTTTCATAAAAAGAAACGTTTTATGCAATTAACTTAAAAAAATATTACAAATCAGCAGTTTATTGATGCTGATGCTCTTGTTATAAGTGGCGTAAAAATCCATAATTTCTCTGATTTATAATTCTCATTTGCAGATATGTGATGAATATGTGCTCAGAAGTCTCGGAAGTGTTTTCAGGTCGAGTTTATCTTTCCCACAGTTTCACATGAACATAGTCCACTGATGTTAGTTTCTGCTGAATGGGAGGGGGGCTCAGAATCAGGCTTGTTCATTTCCTCCCATCGATCAAATTGTCCATTAAGAATAAACTGAATTCTTGTGTAATGAAAGGTTTGTAGACTGGAGTTTAAGAAATGTCTATACAAATTTTCCTTGTAAAGAAATTAAGCAACTTAGCCAGTTTTCTCTAAATGAAGTAGAGTCTACACCACAAATAATCACCTAAGGTGTCAGAAAATAAGTTGTATTTTTTAAGAACAGCCTTTAAAACTAAATGTTTGAAGCATTGTGGTTAAATTGAATTCATAACCTGTTTGGCCAACTCAAACTACTCATCGATCGGAGTGAAGCGCGTCTTTTGTTTGTTTAAGTCTGTTTGTGTCTGTGTGCTGTTTGCCTTCAGTTCAGGGTTGTGATCTTTTTCTCATTCCACTCAAAAAAAAAAACATCAGTCGAAACTCACCTACAAACACAAAAACTCAATGTTCAAACAAGATCTTTGCACCAACCGCTCAAGAAGCCATTTTCAGCTAAAACACGCCTGTGAATGTCCTTTTTTTATTCTTCAGTATAAAAAATAAAATATTTAATTCACTTAACTTCCTTCTGAATGAAGAAAAATCCCGTATTTGAGTTTGATGATTTGAAAATGAGTCACTGAACTGAGATTTCTGTATATCTCATACAATTCAAATACCTGCAGTTGTGGCTGTATGTGCAAAGAAAAAAATAAAAGAAAAATAAAGCAAGAATGTAAGAAGGATGTTGAATACAATTTACCTTTATTTGCATTTAAAAAAATGATGTGAATATTTTTGTCACATGTGTAAATCTGGAAAACAAAGTGAATATAGTGAAAAGAGGAAGATGTAATTTACAATGCACATATTCCCGAAACCGTTATAGTGATACTTAAAAAAAACAAGCTTTTTTATACATTTTCTTTTCTATTAAGACCCACTAATATTTTGGCATTTTCTCTGATTTCATATCAAAGTGGCTCCTGACTGTGACAGAGGACCGAAGGGAAAGATTTTAAGTGGTTGAGATCAATTGAGGTACTGAAAACCCATAAAAATCATAATTACAGCAAACATAAAATACTCATCAGCATTCATTTGGTGGATGTTTGGTGTCAGCATCCGCAAACCGGACCCAAACTTTTCACTTATAATTTGTTCTTGTGAAGAAAAAAGTATATATTAATGTGATGTATTTTATTTTGGCATACTTTACTTTAATGTATTAATAAAAAATGTAGAGAAAATGTTCAAGCTTTGTGACGGAGGATGTAACCTGAGGTCAGGTTAATTTTAAAAGTATTACATGCAACAAGTTGTAGCTGACTCAGTGTGACAGACAGCTTAAAACTGTTAAAATTATACATGGATGTTTTTTTTATTAGTATAGGAAAGAGGAGAAGAACTGAATGTTAAATAGAATTACTGTATTACTATGCAGTTTTATTTAATTTGTAATCTAATTCATTAGTTCATTGTTATTGTTTTAACTGGTATTAAGTAAAGGAAAGATGTTTAAAGACAAAGTGGGTGGGATTATATAAGTATTTACTTCTATCTACAACTTTTCCAACAAGAAATTGATGAATACTGATAAATGACTTATCATGTCATTTATCATTTATTGTGAGAAGCTTCTCATAAGAATTTTTGATTTATCGTTGTCCCAATAAATTTCAGTTAATGAGACATAAAAAACAAAGCTAACAGTATTAATGGAAATTTTATTCTTACTATTTTCTCCACAGTTTGTTCCAAAAGGCCATTAATGTCAGTAAATTCAGCTGCTGTGTGAAACAAAATTTCCATATTTCAAATGGGGATGTTTTTTAGATCAGTATTGGTGTTGAATTCTGTCCCCTGCAGTTACCTAAAAAAAGTACGAAAGTGAGTATTTTATAGTATACATCTTAATGTTATTACAATAATACCACAAATTACTGAGATAAAATTCTAAGTCCATATCGCCCATCCCTACTAATGAATCACTGGCAGAGGGTAAGCCTTGAACGTTTATTAATCTGCTATTTATTTTTGCTGACTCTGCTTCGTTGACTTTCCATTTGAATGCTTTGTTCTTGTAAAATGTCTGAAATAAAACTAAGAAGAAAAAAAAAAACATGGAGGTTTTAACAATATGAAATATTCCCTATCATCCAGGAAGTCCGAATTAAATCCAACTGATTTGGAAACACAAGTTTAGTTGTACGGTGGCCCTGAAGTGCAAATTACTTCAACAAATCAACAAATTTAAGAACACAATGTCAACTAAACACAATAATAATAATAATAATAATAATAATAATAATAATAATAATAATAATAATAATAATAATAATAATAATAATAATAATAATAAACACAAATTAACTCGGCACAATTACAAATGAGAAAACATGATGACTTTAATGAAACAGAAGCGGTGGGTCTGAGTGATTTGTTGAGGTTTGAACTTCAGGGCCACTGTACTTTTTCTTTAAAGAAACCATTTTTATGGCAATGAAAATAACTTCCTGGATACAATGGCAATAGCTTGAAAAGTCCACTAAACTGTTGCCTCCATATTCAATATTCAGTACCTTTACATAATCTGAAGTTGTGTTTGGCATTTAGTTCACGGAGTGCTGGAATCTTGTCACACATATCCTGTGATGTCATATCCTGCTGCAGTGGGCTTCTTAGTTCCTGGGGCTCCCTGAGCGCTGGACCCTGAGGTACTAGTACTTCTGACCATTGTCTGCCCCCTGCTGGCTGCCTTGACGGCCCCCATTTGCAGGGTGGGGTGGCGGTAGGTCTGTGAAGTTGTCCGAGCGCCTGTGCCAGACATCCCACCTCCTACTGGGTACGGATATCCTAACCCATGCCGCCTCCCCCGGCCGTCCTCCTCCTCCACACAGCAGGAGACGCTCAGCAGTCCACCACCCAGCATGGAGATGAGCGCGGAGGCCAGGCCGAGGTACAGGCACTCACCTAGCTCGTACTTCATGCCGGCCGGTGTGTTTGGGCTGTAGAAGCTCTGGACGACCTCATGAGTGGTCCACGACACGGGTACCAAAGACAGAAAACCTGCAACGAGAAACAAAACCCCACCTGCTCCAGCCACACGACTCTTAACAGTCCCCGCATTCTCCAAGCAGACAGTGCACTGCATCCCGAGAGACACCATGCCAATCGCAAGGATGGACAACACCACGGAGATGACCATGAGGGCGCGGGAAGCCTGGAGGTCCGCCGGCAGCGCCAGCATGGAGTTGTAGGTCTCACACTGGAAGGCCCCTGTGCTCTGATAGACGCACTCCATCCACAGGCCCCTCATGTTTGCCACAACCGTGACGATGTTAGAGCCGATGTGAGCAGAAATTTGCCAGTAAGGCAGCACCGTGGCGACCAGGGTTCCCAGCATGCCCAGAAGGCCCAAGAAGAAGCCCATCAGCTCCAGAGCGAGTGATGCCATGTCAACAGCAGCAAAGACTGAGATCTGACAGGAAGCACATAGAACAAGTTCAAGTCAATTAAACCAAAACAAAATATGTCTCAATACTACCAGTTCTTCACTAGAACAAGTTGTAAGTTACAAGTTTGTGGATGTTTCAGCTGTTTTGCAGTTTTCTGGAAGTTTGTCCAGATTTGTAATATGGAAATAAATGTCCTAAAATAGAAACTGTTTTAGAAAAATCATAAACATGTTTTCTTTATTTCAGTACTAATCAGGTCCTAAGCACATCCATTACTTTGTTTTTATTTCATTGCATTATTGTCTCACTGTGCATGGCTTTGTAATAAATACATGCTAACACCTTGTGAAGTACCGCTTCAGATGGGAAGAAAGTTGATATGCCTTTTACATTATGCATGCAGTTAAGCTAAAAATCATTTAAACCTCTGCCACATTTAGATTTAAAATTGTTCAACCAAAAGAAATAATCTATAACCTTCATAAAAATAAAAAAAATATTGCCATAATGTAATTAATTATGTAATAATCATAGATAAATATTCATGACTAACATCAGAATGGAAACAAATACACTTTATAAAGAAGTAATTAACTTGAATGCTTAAGGCAAATGTAAAAGGAAATGAATGAATGATATTTCCAACACACCATTATTAAATAAAGTATATTCTCTAAGAAATTAATACATCTTTTTAAACACATCTTTTTTTTTCAATCATGGATCATTTATGACACATTACATTTGTATTAAATAATTGAAGTATTCTAATATTGCGGCACTGTTAGACCTCCGTATGTTCAAATCTGTGACTGTTCCTTTCTGTGGGGCAGATTATGTTTGTAGAAGTCTAAACTTTTTGCCAAATCACCTTTTTTTTCTTCTGAGCAGCGTGCAAAGACTCATGAATGCCGATATGCTGACGTTCAAATCTTATTTCATGTCAACGCTTTCAGAGTTCAGAGTCCTGTGATATGTATATATATATATTGTTTCACCTGAAAATAGACCAGTTTGTTCCACACACATCCATTTTCCATGCATTACCTGAGATTTCTGCAGGTTCAGGGAGAGCCAGATTCTGAATTTCTTGAAGATTTAGTTATGCTCCTTTGCTGCAGGTGGTGAAGTTGCAGCTGCAGACGATGAGGAGGCAGAAGGAAAAGATGTAGCCTGCAGCCAGTGCAGATTGTGTCCACCTCTGGTATTTCTGTGTAACCAGTTGTAAAATACAGTATATTTTCTGCTTGCTGGATCAGACTCTGACTGCGTCCTCAGTCCTTCACATAGTGGCAGCTGTCATGTTGCGGATGAATGGCACAGACCGGATCAGACTAACGGAGTCAGAGAAACGCTTTTAGGTCTAACTCTGTTGAAGAACGTATCCAAATCTCTGTATTTCACAAACGGTCCTCTTCAAAAGACAAAAAAAGTGGGACAAGAAATCTTCCTCATTGTGACCTCATCTCACGTACACACACACTGAAACTGTTGAATCTGATAGCGACTTGCATTCCTGCTGGCAGCCGGTTTAATCATTTTCTCATTTGTCATCTCTCCAAAACAAACCTTTGTTACAACGTCAGCAGTATTTTTGAGCGAAAGCAAAAGCCTCAGCAACTTCCTGGGGGAAAAAATGACAATTATAGTTTATTAGTGATATTGATAATAACACAGCGTATGTTAATTTTACCAGAAAAAATTATACATATACATGTGTATTATGTAAAAACATTTGGGTAAATGTGAAATACGCTAACAATATCAGCTAAATATTACAAGAAATGTTATTGGAACAGATGCTGTGATAAAAACACAATGCTAACAATAACTGGATTCACCATACAATAAAAACAAATGAACTTTATTTTTACTCGCTAACACACATTTTATTTCAATAATAATTTATTGTTTTCCCCAGTACAGCTTGTCCAGCAATACCCCTGATGTTTTGTTAGTTTTAAAGGTGATTACTAAAATTTTTTAAGTTTATTGGAGCATAATAACAAATAATGTCCTTATTAAAGGGTTTATAATAAATAAAACAGGAATGTTTTGAATAGTCATATTTTAAAAGTCATATCCCAAATTTTACTATTTTAGTTAAATTTAGGAAAATTGATTAAATTACTGTACAACTGGCTTCATCTATTCTTAATATTAAAAAGAATATTAAAAAGAGTTAACAAATATGAAATATCAATAAATCATTTTATCTCCTTCTCTTATTTATTTTTTTCACTTATTAATATAATTATATTTTTAATGAAGATATGTGTATACATATAACTGCTTAAACTAAATAAAAATTATTTATTGTAATGATGCATATTGACAATAAATATGTATAGTATCATAATCATACTAAAGCGATTTACTCTCTTTCATTGTTTTTTGCTTATTTAGTGCTTAAACTGTTAGTAAGAGAAATGAATTAAATCTGAAGTACGGTAAACATTCTACAGGTCAGTATCATCTACTAAAAATTAAAAAACAAACTTGAAAAACAAAAAAGTAAGTCATATTAAACAATACATTTGTCCAGAAACAGTGATGATAATTAAAATCTCATGAATGTAAAATAGTTCTTCTCTTGTATATTTTGAAAAAGTTTCATTTTTCAGTTGAAATTAAACTGCTGATTTCTGTTTTTTGGCACATTCAACATTCCATATACAAACTGCTCACAGGCTGCAATAATAAGATGTGAATTTATAACTCAGGCTGACGACAGACTTGGCAGCCTCCGGTACCTAATCAATTAAATGATGTTTGTTGGCTTGTAGGTTTCTAGAGGACAATAAAGGTGGAGTGAAATTCCATAAATAAACATTACATACCATGCTGGTGTATCCCAAGATGAGAGCAAGTGAAACTTCACAGGTTTTCTTTTATATTATTATTTAAGCTTTTCCATTTCACAAATGCGTTATTAGTCACTGGGTCTGTTTCTGATTAAGTTCCCAAACTTGAGTCTTCAGTTTCTGATCCTTCCATCCAGGCCTCACATGGCCACATCATCATAATGGGATTAGGTTGTAATCCAGCCACTTCCCCTACAAAGCAGACTGAGAGGTCAACGTCCACACTCTCTGAAACACTACGCCATTATTATGAACCACAGAGAGGCATTATATAGACACACTGCATATCAATGAGTCTAGCTGCTCAGGTCAGCTTGGGACTCTTTGTTATTATGTTGAAGCTGGCTGCTGGTCAGTTACTGTAAATCAGAGAAACAAACACAAAATATGAATTTGTTTGGTCTTAGACAAATAGTCAACAACATCGTCGGCAAGAAGATGGCATGAGGCTTGGTCCAATTGTAATGTAAATATACTGTATATGTGTAGTTAAGTTCATTTCATTGAGTGAGGGTACTAATCAATTTTTATTCCTTTAGCCACTAGATCTAATAGTCATTTGATTTTCTGCTAACTTCTGATATAAATTTTGCGATTCTAACGTGAAAGATATTTTACAATGTACAGTTAGGGCCAGAAATATTTGGACAGTAACACAGGTTTTGTTATTTTAGCTGTTGACAAAAATATGTTCAGAAATACAATTTATATATACTATGGGCTGAAAGTGCACACTGCCAGCTTTAATATGAGAGTTTCCACATCCAAATCGGAGAAAGGGTTTAGGAATCATAGCTCTGTAATGCAGAGCCTCCTCTTTTTCAAGGGACCAAAAGTAATTGGACAATGGACTCTAAAGGCTGCAATTAACTCAAAAGGCCTTTCCCTCATTAACCTGTAATCAAGTAAGTAGTTAAAAGGTCTGGGGTTGTTTCCAGGTGTGTGGTTTTGCATTTGGAAGCTGTTGCTGTGACCAGACAACATGCGGTCAAAGGAGCTCTCAATTGAGGTGAAGCAGAACATCCTGAGGCTGAAAAAAAGGAAAAAATCCATCAGAGAGATAGCAGACATGCTTGGAGTAGCAAAATCAACAGTCGGGTACATTCTGAGGAAAAAGGAATTGACTGGTGAGCTTGGGAACTCAAAAAGGCCTGGGCGTCCACTGAAGACAACGGTGGTGGATGATCGCCGCATACTTTCTTTGGTGAAGAAGGACCCGTTCACAACATCAACTGAGGACCAGAACACTCTCAGGGAAGTAGGGGTATCTGTCTCTGAGTGAAGAGTAGAGAGAAGACTCCATGAAAGCAAATACAAAGTGTTGACATGTAGATGCAATCTATTCATCAGTTCCAAAAATAGACAGGGCAGAGTTAAATTTGCCCAAAAACACCTCAAGAAGCCAGCCCAGTTCTGGAAAAGTATTCTATGGACAGATGAGACAAAGATCAAACTGTACCAGAATGATGGGAAGAAAAAAGTTTGGAGAAGAAAGGGAACGGCACATGATCCAAGGCACACCACATCCTCTGTAAAACATGGTGGAGGCAACGTGATGGCATGGGCATGCATGGCTTTCAATGGCACTGGGTGACTTGTGTTTATTGATGACATAACAGCAGACAAGAGTAGCCGGATGAATTCTGAAGTGTACCGGGATATACTGTCAGCCCAGATTCAGCCAAATGCTGCAAAGTTGATCGGACGGCGCTTCACAGTACAGATGGATAATGACCCCAAGCATACAGCCAAAGCTACCCAGGAGTTCATGAGAGCAAAAAGGTGGAATATTCTGCAATGGCCAAGTCAATCACCAGATCTTAACCCAATTGAGCATGCATTTCACTTGCTCAAATCCAGACTTCAGACGGAAAGACCCACTAACAAGCAAGACCTGAAGGCTGCGGCTGTAAAGGCCTGGGAAAGCATTAAGAAGGAGGAAACCCAGCGTTTGGTGATGTCCATGGGTTCCAGACTTAAGGCAGTGATTGCCTCCAAAGGATTCGCAACAAAATATTGAGAAAAAACTTTTTTGTTTGGGTTATGTTTATATGTCCAATTACTTTTGAGCTCCTAAAATGTGGAGTGTTTGTAAACAAATGTATACAATTCCTACATTTTCTATCACATATTTTTGTTCAACCCTTTAAATTAAACGTTACAATCTGCACTTGAATTCTGTTGTAGAGGTTTCATTTCAAATCCAATGCGGTGGCATGCAGAGCCCAACTCACAAATATTGTGTTACTGTCCAAATATGTCTGGCCCTAACTGTATTCCTTCCTTTCTTTTCTGTGACGTATGAAATTATTTGTTCCCTGACTAATGGATATAATTTTCAGAACTGATCTGAGACTGGTCGGAAAATTGTATATTCTATTTGATATGAGTTACAAGAGTTTTCATATATATACATACAATAGCAGCTTATGAACTGCTATAGTAAACACCTGATGGACACTGCCTCAGGGTGTAATATTTACACCATAGATTTTGTGCATTCAAAATATACATATTCCAAAGTATCTGGAGTGCTATCTAAAGCCATACTAAAACCATTTGGCCCAGTAAAGGTTCAGTAACTCTGACGATTCACGTTCAGCTTTGGTGTCCTAAATACATGTTGAATGTATTTAGTCTTTAACTAGTATTTAGTTCCCTCTAGTGGCCATCATAAAAATTACAACCTAAAATTTATTGAGAGGGAAGCCATCATTTTCACTTTGCACAATTTGTTTGTTTTGAAGGAAAATGGCTGATTGGTGGAGTTTTAGGAGACAATGCAGTGATTAACAGATATAGTCTCTAAACTAGTTATTTTAAACAATTGTTCTTTCGAAATGATTTGTTGATACTTAAACATTTAAAACATGGCATTGTAAAATAAATTATTTCCTTTTACATTTTCACAGTTTTCCTAATAAACACAATAAAAACAATTTGTCAGCTAAATTAAACTAAAAGAAGTATGTTAAAAAGTTATTTTAGACAATATTTATTTTAAATATTATGTTGCAAAAAGAGTCAAAGTGATTTGATTTGGTTCACTGAGCATTAACATAATTTTCTAATTTGGAATAAGCAAGTAAATTAAACTTTATTTATAGCCCATCGTCACAGAAATAGAAATGAAAAAGTGCCTATTTGTGCTTCTAATGCTTGAGAGTATCAACCCAGACTAAACAGTCATATTGCTTGGACTAAAATAGTTGAAAACATACCTGACTTGCTCAATAGTTTTTGTGTGCTTTAACAGAAATGCCTATCACAATATGGATGCCGCGTTAGCATACTGTCCTAATGCGCATGCGCCTTATTGGTATGTGGGTTTTATCTGGGGCTCTATCCAGCAGTAAATCAGTGCAGCAGCGGAGGTCTTCGCGGTGAAGACTGTCAAACTGGCCACGCCTTTGAGAAACAAAAATGCCCAATCAGGGAGCACTTTAAATGATTGTGAATCCACCGTCCAATCACAGCATTAAGAGAAAAGTGTCCCCGCCCCTACCACTATAAATTATGTTGAAAATCCAAAAATTCACTGGGCTAGGTGTCAAATGAGTGTGAAAATATACAAAAATAATTGATCAAGGTCATAAACACATAAAACAAGATTAAGCGACTTTTTTGTGTTATTTTAGTTGATTTACATAAAAGATTCAATATTTTTGAAACATAGAAAATGAGAAGACTAAGCGGATTATCATGTCTATGTTTGAAAAAACGTTCCTTTCTCGGATTTGTTCAATCCGATTAAAAAAGTAGTACCAATGAGAGATAAAGGGAATGCGAATATAAATTTATTTCGGTTTATAACTCCATACTTTTAAGTTGAAAACAAGAGGAAAATGAGCCAGACTGTGTGTAGTCTAGTCTCATTTTTTCTCCCTCTCAGGAGGCTCTTCTTCCCAGCCCCCTTTGTTCGATCCAGTCGGTGGGTTGAGTCAGAGACGGGAGGCCGAGCTGGACCCAATAAACCACCAGCACCGGCGAAACCAGAGCGGAGGAGATACCGAAGCGGATAAACAGGAATAAAAAAATAAACGGAAAACAAAAACTTTGACTGAAAGTATTTCTGAAACGGTTCTGCTTCTTTAAGAGTCGGGTTTTTTTTCGACATCCTTTCCTAGCCGTCTTAGCTATCACCCTGGAGCATGAACCGGCAGGCTGACTGCTGCTAACCCCGCACCGGTCTGTCTCCATCATCCACGCTGATCCACGCAGATTCTCCCCTTTCAGTTTTTTTCTTGGCTCAGCATCCATATTTGCATCCCAGGGAGTGGCAGGCACTAATCCGCCCTGTCTCTCCCCCTCCTCCCGCCGGTGAGGACCTAGAAGTTAGCCGCTCCTCGGACACCCCTCGGACTCCGCATTTCCACACAGGAAGGTGAGGATTTTCCTGCATGTTTTGAGTCATTTCAGACATTTTAAACAATTCTGTCTGTGTTTTTGCTTTCGGGTGGAAGTGAAGGGCAGAGTGAACCACGCTGCCTGCCGCAGTCGCTACAACAATAGATCAAACTGCTGGCGTTGTGATACATTATCATCCCGACGCTTCATCATGCCCCTAAAGAAATAAGATATTAAGCGCTCATTGCTTATTCCACATATGAAGCATAGCTTTAAACCACCAGCATCGCAATTTTGGCCAGTTTGATTTGATTGACCTGATTTAAAGCGTAAAATGACAAATTTTCTGAATAAAAATGAGTGTTAATAAGATGTAAAATCCAACTTTATGCATGAAAATCGCATAATTTAATTCCTAACAAAAATTTTAAACAAAGTGAGCATTCCTTATTTGAGGCCATAGCAGCTTTATGTCTTCCTAAAAGGCTCTGGGCCATGATTTGTAGGACATGCTCCACTTGGGCACCGGCCTACATTGGACATATATCAGCCTGATGAGACTATTACTTCACAGTAAATTACTGTTATTCTTATTATTGCTTATGATAAATAGATTTCATGTCAGGGAATTACCTCTCTTATTGATCAAAGTGAAATAATAGTGTGGTTGTTGGATTAAATGTGTGTAACAGCTAACTTAGAATATATTTTAGATATTTAAGCAGGAAACATAAGCAGCAAACTTAGATTGAATTTTTTTTCTATAATTCAGCCATATTTGAGGGTGTTTCAAGCATGAATGACCTGCTTGAAACACCCTTTTTAAAAATGTTGTTAAAGTTCCGCCACAAGTCCTAACTTGGACTAGGCCACATCAGTTTGTTTAAGCCATTAAGTTGTAAACTTGCATGTGTGCTTGAATTCATGCTGATTGTTGTTCAGGATTTTATTGCTGAGATCCAAATTCACAGCTTTCTCAATTACAAGAAGTTACCTTGAGCACCAGTGTTTTTACCTTGTAGCTCTCTTTCTCATGGTTTGAATCGTGAACTCTGACCCTGACTAATTTTGGTTGGTCGTCCTTTACCGGGAACGTTCAGAACTAAGTTGTGTTTTATCCATGATTTATCAAAGCAGGTCACCTCTACAGGTTGGCGCATGGTTTTAATAGTGTGCTTTTCATGCTCAAAGTCAGTCAGATTATATGGAAAGTAGTGTGAATTTTTCATTCTTGCCACAGATTTTCTTTGGTTTTGGTTTTGGTTATAATGGTAGGGGGGGGACACTTTGGTCAAGACTTTAACTGGACCATTCTTGCACACCAACTCCATTCCTCCAGGACTTCTATCCTGAAGCCTTCAGATGAATCTCTGCTCCACCGTGTTTCGCAGTGAGCTCAGGTTGAAGTTTAAAGATTTCTGTCGCACAAATCAAAAACAGCTGAATTTTAGGTCTTGTACACATGTAGCTGTATTTTTATAAAAACAAATATCTGCCACAACGGAAATATTTTAAAATTTTATACGTAAAAAACAAGAATATTGTACACATGTAATTGGTTTCTGAAATGTTTTCGTCAACATAAACTCACACAAGCGCGATAGTGTTATTTTAAACAATACAAACCCATAGGGGGCAGTGTTACGCACAGCTAAAACTTGTCAGCCAATCAGATTGCGTCAAAGAACCATAACTTCCTGTTACAAATTAAACATGACACTTGGCGGTTAATTTTTGGAGACATATACATGTTGAACTACTTTTAATTAGCGTACTAAGTATGCTAATTAAAAGTAGAATATAAAGTTATTAAAACACAAGATAATGTCTAATTACAGAAAATATTTTCCAGAAACCTCTGACAGAGGTTTTTTAATAATTTATTTAGTTTTTTTGTTTTGGTGTTTTTGTGTGTGTAGATGCTTCTTCTTTTGTTTTTTTATTATTGTATACTTTAGATATGTATTTATGTATTTGTTTTTGGTCTAGTGACCCATTGTGAGACAATCAAATCTCTGGATATAATGTTCTTCATGCTTTATATTTTGCCTTTTCTTCTGATGTTCTGTTTTGTTCTGTTTGTTTTTGCACATTTTTGTTCAATAAATATTAAAGAAGTCACAGAACAGCTGGATTTAAACACGCAGTTGGTTGCACTGAGGTTTAATTTTAGGGTATGAAAATAAATGGAGCTTGGATAACGCTATACCTTTTAGATTTTTATTAGTGGCAAAGGATCCACTTCCCAGTTACGCAATGCTTAGACATAAAAAAATACAATAAAGTTTGTAGTTGGGTGTAATATAGGTTGAAAAGTTTTAAGAATCTGTAATAGCCCACCCTCCTGCAGCTGTTTTCTGTTTGGTCTTATCTGAGACGATGAAATCGGGTTTTGTCTGGAATTTGGTTTGTTTCGTCTTGTTTGGAGATAAAACAGCCAGGCCACCGTACAAACTTTACTATCAATCTGAGTCAGTTTGTTCTTCAAATGGATCTAAATATGAAATTTGGAAAAATATCTTTGTGTCTGTAATGAAGGTTTTCATTACTTGGTTTGAAACAAGTAAAATATAGATTGATTATTTTAAATGAAACCATTACAAGTATAAACCGATTGAAGTATTTTATTGATAGTTTGTGGTATCTTCCTCTACTCTGTCTAAGCAGCTGCAAATCTCTGCCATTCCCATTCCATTCCTCATTTCAGTTTTCTCAGAGTTAAGCTTGTGGAGACTTGATAAGTCCCCTCCTTATTTTTACCTTTGTATTTTATATTGTTTGTGTACTAACATCTTTTCCCTTCTATTTCCTTCCTTCAGCTAAACATGGAGAACAACAGCCTCCGCTCTTTGATCTAGTACCGGATCCATACGCCTCCAGAAGATCTCTCCAGATCCCCGCCGTGTCCCTGCTCCTGTAAAATGAACATGCTGAAATCCAGTGGACTGAAGATTCCCGGCCGTGGGGCCAAGCATTCCAGCCCGGTGGGACGGAGCTCTGTGGGTGGAACGTCCAGCCCTGTCGCCACTAAAGACAGTAAGTCACTTCCTTTTCCAAACTCTGAGAATATTTCTTCTCATCAGCAGGAAGTGGCTTGGAGCATTTATTTGTGTTTCTAACTCAGTCAGCCTAACACAGCTGTTGTAGGAAACACACTCAAGAACTTCAGTGTGTCTCTCTCGTCCCGGGACACTTCTCTGTTTTCCCACTGGATTGATTTCTGACCTTTTTATTTATTCTATGCTTTTATTTATTCAAAAGCATTAAATCTTACCAGGTATTTTTGGTCTGGTTTCTTGTGCAAATATCATAGTACATGTGAAATAGGACAAAACTAACTTACAAGTAACTTTTCAGAGAAATATAGGAGCTTGTTTTAAAACAGTTATTCTTTAATTTTGATTTAAAAATGTACAAGTTCTATTGACAGATATAACAAGAGAATTAATTTTGTTATATGCGAAACAATCTGCTGGTGGAACTAGTTAACCTATCAGAAGCTTCTAAACCTATGACATCATCATCTGGGTTTTTCTTCATTGTGTAAAGAGAAGGTAAATATTCTGTTCTCCTACCACTTCCTGTTGTCTTACTTGTCATTTCCAGCAGTGGCAGCATCCGGTGGTTAATCTTGTGACTTGTATGATGCAAAACAGATGTTTGCTTTGCAATTTCTCGCAAAATACACAAATTTTGATATAACTGGAAAAAACACTTTATTGTAGATAAAGTTTGCATTAAGAAGATTTATTTTGTAATTCCAATTTGCACAGTTTTATGGTGAATTGAAGCGCAGCTATTAAGGAAAAAAATGTTTTTAAGATTTTTAACGTTCATACATAAAATGATTATGTTAAGCAGAAAGTGGACAGCAAAGCTGCTGAGTAAATCTTTCGCTATCGCTCAGTTTCACCAAATTACCGCCTTGTCTGAAGTAATCCCAGCTGTTCAGAGCCACACTGTTTACACCATTCAGTTGTAGCTCACATGACAGGCTTGTTCTCACAGCTCCACACGCATGTCTGTGCTAAATTACAGCCTGACAATGGGAACAGGAGAACGGCCGCCCTTTTTCTACATCCACCACAGCTACAAGTGTCTGGGGTTCACGCTGATTGCAGGTTTTCATTAGAGCGCTCTTAAAACACCGCCTGATATTCTGCAGATACCTTCTCAGATTCACTGGTTTTAAGTTGCTGTCTTTCTGTTCCAGTTCTGGGATGCTTCAGGCCGCACGACCTTTAAATGTGTGAGCAATCAGAGCACAGAAAGCGCATTCTTTCCCTGGTTCATTAGAGCCACTTGAAAGCAGAAAAAACAAACATTCCTCTCAGTTATCCGTCCAAAGCTTTAATTTGGCCTGATGGTGATTTTTGGGGGGGACGCTGTAGTAGCTGACTGTTTGGCGAAAATCTCTGCTCTGTTTCAGCCAAACTCAAACTTTACTCTCTTCTGTCCATAGATTCTCTCATTGTTTTAGTTTTTTTGTAAGTGAACTTTGACTAGAGTTTGTAGTTAACAGGTGTTACACACACAGCTTTAGGCAGGGCCGATAAACCACCTGGTGGTCTGAATAAAACCGATGTTAATGAATGGAGCCACAAGCACCATCTATAACTGCGGCTGAAAATCGTGCTTGTGAACACATTCTGACTTGACGTCGTTAGGGGTCACAACCCATGTGCTCAACTCTGCTGCTCAACCCACAAATGCAGCTCAGTGCTAATGTGGTGCAGTCAATTAACAGGTTTATTCAGTGGTATAATATTCATTGCTAACTTTTGGTGCTAAGGTTAGTTTAGACACTGGCAAAAATGAAGTTTACTTAGTTATAATTTCCTTTTTCTTTTTTATACATTTTATTTTTTATCCTGTCCTTAACCTAACCCTAAAAAACCTTTTCAATAGAAATCTGCTCCTTCTTCCTACAAGTCTGCTACATATACTCTAGAGTCTGATCAAATGGCAAAACTAAGACTTTCCTACAGCTGTAAATACCACTGTTGGTATTTACAGCTGCACACACTTCATTATTTCAAACCACATCTAGAATATGAAGCTGATTCACTTTCGGCTCCTGTGAAGAGATGGAGACACAAAATCGCGTGCTGAATGTTATTCTGACTTTTTTTGTCCGGGAGCTACCAATTGGGTGTACCAGAGATAGAAATGAGCTTGTGTCGCAGCTGTGGATAGTTTTGAGAAAATTTTCAGAGTGTGGCGGAAAAGGGTTGCAGGTTAAATCATCAAGTAGGTCTTAATTAGTCTTGTAAACAAATCACAACTCAGATTGTAGGAAGCTGAGTATCTTTAGTAGTTTAATGAGCAATGAGATGAGACATTGCAGCTTTTATTCTATCCTTTCTACCTGAATGTGGCTAAAAACACACACAGTGATCTGTTTTCTGCAGCAGATAATCTTCACAGTGACCTGGCCTCGTGCTCTGAATCCCAACCCACAGTTTGTTAGTTTTTGCTGCTGCGACTGTCAGAGACAGGGGCCACTGTGTTGGAAGACTTGGCTCGGCATCCAGAGGAAGCTTTAAGCTTTCCTTCAGCTGCTTTTGAGGTGAAAATAACAAAGCCGTGCCACCTCTCCTGGTTCTGCTTCTCCTGAAACTCTGGAAAATCAATTTGCAGCAGCAAGGATCTTAGCTGTAGATGTGCTTCCCTGGCAAATACAAGTGTAAAAACTTGTAAAATGAGTTCATCTTCTTCTGCTGTAGTGTGATGTCACTCTGAAAATATTAGACAAATAAACCTTTTTAATTTGAGGATGTCTTTTCCTGAGAGAACAAAATAGCATAACTAAATATTGGTGTAGTGATCTAGGGTTAGCAGAGCTAAATATCATGTTGGTATAGCGCTTTAGCATTAGCTCCCACTAAATAACAGGTGGGTTTAGCACTTTAGCATGGAAGCACAGGTGTCAAACTCCAGTCCTCAAGGGTCGGTGTCTTGCAGTTTTTAGATGTGCGACAGGTACAAAACGCTGGAATGAAATGGCTTAATTACCTCATTGTGTAGGTCAGATCTCCAAAGCCTTAATGACCTGATTATTCTATTCAGTGGTGCAGCAGAGGCACGTCTAAAAGTTGCTGAGCATCAGCCCTTGAGGACTGGAGTTTGACACCCCTGCATTAAAGGAACCAGCTACCATGCTGCTTTTACACCTTAGCATTAGCAGAGCTAAACACCATGTTTGTGTAGTGCTTTAGTGTTAGCTAAACTAATGTTTATGATTAGTGATTTAGGGTTAGCGTAACTATCTTTTTAGTTAGTGTTGCCCAAAACTGCTGGAAACTGATCATGCAAAGCTTTGAAATGTTGTGTACAAGGAGTCCTGTGAAGTAGACAGTCTAAGAAACCATGTGAGCTCATGTGATGCAACAATTAAAAACATCATAGCCTGTAGCATTGGGCAAAACAAACCAAATACTACCACCGAACAAGAGCAATGCTTCCCCTGAGCCTAGCAATATTACATATCAACCTTCCAGTTATTTCTTCACACATCAAAATGATCCACAAGATAAACATGACATTATTAAATGAATTAAAACATTTATTCTGTATGTATTTGCAGAGAAGACCTTGAATATCCAACTTTGTCCTTTAAATGTTGGTCATGACTCTCACTATTGTGCTAAATGATACTGGACCACGACGCGACGCATTTAAAAGCAACAAATTGATCAAAAGTCAAAAACATTTAGGCTCAACCACCCAACACCCCCTCCATCTGTCGTCCACAGCTGTCACAACCTCTGCTGACGGCAAAAACACAATGTCAGGCCTTCCCCACAGATAAATCTGACCAAACATTACGCGACTGAGGGCGGTGGTCACTGTTGAAAATGATCATAAAAAGTGGATTTAAAGAGAGAGGAGGGTGTGTGTTTGTGAAAGAGAGACCAAAACAGTGAGAGACAGGGGGATAATTAGAGGGAGGAGGAGGAGGAGAGTGTCCGGGAGGAAGCTGTGGAGGTTTCATTGTGCACAGTCGATGAATAGTGGGATTCAGATGGTGGTGGGAGGTGGCCAAGCACAATGGTGAAAGTAAAGGCTGTGTTTCCAGTCTTCCCTCTGCCAAGGATCCTTTTGCCCCTGCCTCCGTGTTGCCTAAGAAACCCGGATCATGGTGTTAGCTCAGGTTTTAAATGCCACTCTGAGTCTTTTAACCTACAGACCTGCTTTATAAAAATTATTTTGTAAGCATTTTTAAAGTAGCATATTCAGAAAGTACTAGTGGTTTGAGTCAAAAAACATCCCTGATATCCAGAGCATACCTCCACCTCTCAGGCTCTCCTCCACCTGCTCCCCCATCTCACTACGAAGCACAGTGTCGTCCGTGGGGATTGCTGCATGTCCTCCTCTGTTTACCTGTCCATCACCACTGCAAACATGAAGGTGCCCAAAGCTCATCCCTGATGTAATCCCGCCCCTATTATTGAACCGATTTGTCCCTTCTTCACAGTTTCTTCACACACACTTCTGTGCCGCACTTTTCTGCCAGCGTTTCACAGTTTGTCCTTTAGGTCAGCTGATGGCGATCACAGAAATGAAATGTGAACTAACAGGATAAATGTTTGTTTCATGTGCACAAATAAAAAATTAATAAATCAATCAAATCAAAATAAAAATCTTGGTTTTTGTAGAAATAAATAAAAATACAGAAGTGCATGGCATTGTTTCTTGTAGTTATTTTCTAACATATTGTATCAGTTCCACAGGTAAAATAGGTTATTAACCAATGACCTATTTCTATTAGGTTGTCATTTATATTTCTGGTGTGCTTTTGGCCATGTGGTATTTGCTTAGTGATGTGACAGTGTTAGCGATGCAGTTGAAGATGTAGGGAGGTAGACTGTACAGCAGGGCTCTCCGACTTTTAGGCTACGATCACTGATTTGTACCACTTTTATATGTGTTCCTAACTCAGATATAACGGTTTTGAACGGTCATTTGAACGGTTTTATTTGACTTTTTTGTCACTGACATGAGATATGAATCATAATGCTGCATCAGAAGACGCCAGACTCCGTAAATCTGGATGTGAACAATGGCTGAGAAACGCCATGATTATGACATTATAAAAGAAACATCACAATCTCACCACTGTTGGTTCTCACTACACGTCCAGACACACTTCTTTACAGAAGCTGCAGTTAATGCTCCACAAAACTGTCGCTACTGGTTGTTTTCTTTTTATTAGCTTCCTTTGTCTTAAGTTCTTGTGACATAAATGGCTGGTGAGGGTCATTAATTAACAGAGAGTAAAAAAAAATCTTTTGATAGTCCAGCTGCATGATGGGACAAAAACAGAGTGACCCACTTTGAAAGGCATCTGCCTAAATGAGGAACCTCTGTGACCCCGTGTTTTCTCCACATTCTGGGACAATTTCGAAGCTGTTCCTACCACATCATTATATTTCTTCTTTAATAGTTGTTTCCGTCTCACTTACAGCTCTCAGAACTCCATATGTGAGCAACTGAGGCATAAGCTACATAAAGGACAACAATATTAGGCCCAGAAAGCCTCTCGGTTCTTGGTGCTATTGAAAGTAGACTGGCACCAACCACTACTGCTGTACACACACAGGCAGTGCTGCGCACCCGACCGCATGCTAATGGTAGCCTTACAGACTGCTGAGATGCAGCTTGTCTATGTGTCAAACAGGCAACATCCCAGGCAGCATGGCAGGGCTAATCACCGGCATGTCACTGATACCGTGTCTCTGACCCACTTTTCACTAAGAATTAGAGTATCGCCTGATCTGCCTTCTGAATGTTGCCACATAGGCATTTTTTTTCCCTGCAGGAATGTCACGGTTAAGTGGGAGGAGGTAATTTAGTAGAACAATGCAAGAAACTGCAAAAATTCACAGATGAAATATGATGTCTGTGTTTTTTAGGCACTCCACCGAAGGCTGCCACTCCAGCTAAAATCTCAGAAGAAGGCGATGATGTTGTAGGAGACTACACTGTTGGCGAACAGGTGTGGGTCAACGGCGTCAAACCCGGAGTCATCTCCTACCTCGGGGAGACCCAGTTTGCCCCCGGACAGTGGGCCGGAGTCATACTGAATGACCTAGTTGGCAAGAACGACGGGTCGGTGGGCGGCGTGCGCTACTTCGAGTGCCAGCCCCTCCAGGGCATCTTCACGCGGCCCTCCAAGCTCACCCGACAGCCGGTCGGAGAGGGGAGCGACAGCCACTCCACTGACTCAGCCCAGAATCAGACTCACCAAGGCGGCACTGGCGCCCCTGCTGGCCCGAGGGTGGTGGTGCCGCTCAGAGAAGGGCTCCTCAACAGCGCAGTGAAAACGGGAAATGAGTCGGGTTCCAATATGTCGGACAGCGGCTCAGTTAAGAAAGGTGGAGATAAAGACCTGAGAGTTGGAGATCGAGTTCTGGTGAGTAACCACTAGTTGTAGATTGGATGAATGTGATTGGAAAAGGCAGAAAAATATTCAAATTTTTAATGGGGACAGAGGGTCATAATTGTTGCTTTGTTGGCCAAATTAAATTAAATCCAGAAGGCAGAAAAGTATCAAGGATTTTTTTTCTGCTGAACAGTAAACAAAGATTTAATTCAAGATTTTAATTCATCAGTAATACATTTGCCCTAATTAAAAATATTAAGTCCACATCTGCATCAGCCACCACATTTGTATAATTCGAGTGCTAAACAAAATCGGTCCAAGGGCTACAAATAGCCCACGAGCCACACTTTGGACACCCCTGGGTCTAAACAATCTATTGATTGATACTTTCATTTGTCCATCCATCTATAGAAACTTGAGTCTGGAAAAGGAGGGAGTTTTAATATAGAAACATCTAGTGCGACCCTGGCTGCAGGTTCAGCTCCTTCAGTCATGTCAATGTGCCCCTGGGCAAGGCACTTAAGGCCAGTTTGCCTTCTGATCTGTGAATCAGGGTTTTACCTATTTATGGGTGAAACTGGGTGAACATGCCTCAAGTGTAAAACAGTTTCTAGTGGTCAGTATTGGTAAAAGTTTAGTTCCAATTAATCTAAATGAACTCAACCAGTTGAGGGTTGAATATCCACCACTTAAACCAGAAGCTTCTTGATGCCAACAGAAATGAATGTTTGTGGTGTAACTTGCTAAAGGACATTAGTAAGTCCTTTAGCAATACATGCAATATCAGATGTATGTATATATTTGAACTTGTACGTCAAATTTTCACCACATTTCAGTTGCAGAAAATGTGGAGAAGAGAAATAGGTATATGTTAGAAGACCCCTTAACGTCGTCTTCTAATCCTCCCCAACAGTGACGAGTGACATTGGACGGCTTCTGGAATACACAGCCTTCTCTCTCTGATAAAATTGACCCCGGCCCCCTTTGCTTTCCATTTACTGATGGGCGAGGGGGATGACTAGCACCTCCACGCCGCTCAATATTATAAATCACTCTGGATTACTTTCAGCACTTAAGGAGAGGAGCGTGCGCTGCTGACACATTGATCAGTGAATCCATCTATTTCCTAAGCCTCTCCCAGTGAAATCCTTCTGGCGGCGGTGGCACTATCCAGTCGTCTCGCCCTCTGATATTTTGTGAAATTAGCACAAACTCAGATTACACGCTGTGGACACAAAGCGAGTGGTTGTTTCTCTGTATTTGGTGTCAAATTCTAAAACGGTGGCAGAAGAGGGGACACCCTGAAGAGGAGTTTATCTGCGCTGACTGGGAACCTTTCTGATAATTTTGTCAAATTCAAGCGTTTTATGGTAAAAGAATAATTATACGTGTCGAGGATTGTGAAAGGAAGGAGTAGTTTTATCTGCAGACGACACCCTAGTGACGTTTAACCCTGATTCGCTGAGACGTCTGCCGGCCACGCTGACAGACAGTTCCCGACTAACGTCTTGTGACATCACACGTCACTGTGGATCCACAGAAGGACAACGGTGCCTGATAACATCCCCCAATTCACTGCTTTCTCTTTTTATATATGACAGCTTAATCTTAACATTTTCTCCTAAATTAATAACATTTTAACAGTTTATTAGGAATATATATTTTCTGTCCGATCACCGATCAGACCTGCCGATTCCAGTATAACTAATACAGTTTTTTTTAAAAAATAACTGACACTGTGAGGTTTTGTAAGGTGACAGTACACAAGGCTGGGTTTGCTGCATGACAAGGTAGACAGACAATGTAAGTTTCTCACGGGTGGGAGGGGCTCGCAGCAACTCTCTTTGGAAAAATAGTCACTGTAGCTGTCTGAAAATTTGCTATACTCAGCAACAAATGTTCTTCACCATTTTTGAGAAAAATGTACTGTAAACTCACAACTATGCATTAGTGACAACAAATGTGTGGATCAATTGATTCTAAATGAATTTCTGTGGAAAACTGGAAGGACTCATTTTTAAGACCTCTGTTGAGGTAAATAAGCAGATTATTTCACTTACAGAAAGATGTCTTGATACACTTAATCTGCCAGATAATCTAGTACTTGACTTGAAATAATCTTCTATATCTATCTGAAAAGTTACTTCTAAGTTTTTTTTTTGTTTCTATTTACTAAGTCATAAATTAAATACTTGGTAAGATTTTGTGTTTTTACAGTGTATACCGCCTCTCACCCAATGAGCGCCTCAAAATAAGTTTGAGCAGCCCAATGACCGAGCAAATATCAACACATGTTGACAAAGGATGGGCGTCCAGCCCTCACTTCAGCAAATGATGTCACCAAGATGCCGCTAAGGTCAGCTGGCAAAAATAGAGCTCAAAATCTTGCACAGTTTTTGTATTACTTTGTTAATCATTTTAGCTAATTAATTTTATGAATGAAATACATTTAATGTATTATAATACTGTATATTTTTTTTATAAGGATTTAGTTAAAAAGTATTAAAAGAACGCTAAATTTTTCATTTTTGTCCCGCCAGATGTTTTTGTACTCATATTTTGAACTGTACTGCTCTCACACTCTTGGTAGAAAAACTAAATTCTCCCATTTGACCAGGAATAAATCTAAAATGGCAACACGTTCTTATATTGAAAATAATTTTCTGCACTTAACCAAGTTTACTGCAAACACAAAGTTTTGCAGTAAAACTTTCAATGATTAGTTTAATGTTTGAAATGTAGTGATGTTGCAAGATGCTTCCAGAAAAAACATTCATTTAGCTGGAAGATCCCACTTTCATGAAGTCACTTCCTGAGAAAATGGGATGTCAGGAGTGTTTTCATGTGTGTCATGCATGTGGTCGCCATGTGTGAGAGACACTCAGCAGCTGCAGTGCGTGCAGCTTAAACTGTCCTCCCAACAGGAAACCATTATTTTCACCCAGGGATGTGACGTTGCTGGAGGAATTATTTGTGACTGGTGATTTTTTTTTTCCCCCATAAATTTATAAAAGCTGCAGCTGCTTTGCTGGAATACTGTTTCTCTGAATAAATGCGCTAAAGTAGATGAAACAGATGAGTGACACTATAAGGGCTAAAAGTTGAAGTTTTCATATTTGTATTATTTTCTTCTCTGAGCTTCTTCTTTTCGCTTCAGTAGTTTCACTCAGCAGGCTCCAAAGCAGCATGTGAGTTAGCAGAAAAGCATCAGTTTGTGAATGGGTCCATTGTTCAGCAGTGTAAAACGCTCCTTTTGTGACCGCTCTTCATGACTTTATTGGCCACATCTGAAACCGGTTGTTTGGAGCAATAAAAGAATACCTCTGCTGCAGTTTTTTTCTACAAACCTGCATGAACCATCCTTCTGTTTTCTCCTAAATAATATGATGTTATCGGAACCTACTTACACTTTAATGGGAATGGCCTTAACACCAGGTGCAACATTGTACCATGTTTCATTTGTCATGCATTAACGCTCTGCATACTGGTAATACACTTTAGATTTTTGGATGCACTGTAACTTTAAACATTCCTCACCTTATGTGTACTTTTAGTTCTTGAGATACTGAGAGTGTAAAGGAGACAACGGTAAACAAAGAAAAGAGTCAGAGAAATGTGGATCTTTTGTAGTAGGCATTGTAATTTTCAGTAATAGTATCAATACCAGCAGTGGACAAACTTCCTCTGGTCCGCTAATGTGAAGCGAAGCTAATTTTTAAGTTGGCGGTTTAGCTAAAACTGTTTATGCAGCAGTTCCATTTCCTCTCCTCACAATCCCTCTCTTTTTTCCCCAATAACTTTATTTCAGGTATTAAACATACAGGAATAAAGTTAAACACAAACATGAAACATAAATATAATATCTACTGGCATTATGGAGCAAGTAAACTAAATGTAAAAATTAAATTAGTGCTAGAGGGTTGAACTCTCTCATCGACAGATGTAATTGGTTTTGAAGGTAGGGCATTAGCATTAGCTTCTTCTAAATACACGGTTAAGTAGTGTATTAGCGTTAGAGGAACTTATTTATGATTAGTGCTTTAGGATTAGTGCAACTAACTTTCTCCAGTTTCTTCCAGTTGCCTGTAGAAGTTTAAAGCAGGTCTAGGTTCTAAAACAATATAATAAAACTATGAACATTTCAGTTCAATCTGTTCTGTCTACAGTTTGAAAATGAAAAGAACTTGCCAAGACATGGCCATCCAGTTAAAATGACTCAAAAACCAGAGAAAGCCGTATTGCATCCTCTTCAGATTTCCTTCATGTGTTTCAGCTTTTTTGTCAGTGAAAACGTTTAAAGTTTTCTGATTGTGAAATGGGATGCCTCCATTTTATAAATAACTGTCTCGTTACTATGTTTCAAATTAGAAGTGACGCTTGATATCCCACCACCACGGTACAGCATCTCTTTGTCAATAATCTCCAAGTCAGCATAAACGTTTATCGTCTCCATGTTGATTTTATCAGTCTGAGCGCCATCTTTGTTTTCAGGTGGGAGGCTCTAAGATGGGAGTAATACGTTACATGGGGGAAACGGACTTCGCCAAGGGTGAATGGTGCGGGGTGGAACTGGATGAGCCTCTGGGGAAGAACGACGGTGCAGTGGCTGGTACAAGGTGCGCACTCACATTTACACACACACACCATAAAATCCTAGCCCCTGAAATTCCTCTGCTGTGTTTCCCCTAAAAGGAAATCAAGGGGAAGGATGTGGATCCATATGGTTAGATGCATGACTTCCACCAAATAGTCCTTGAAAATGGCTGCGGCTGACCCCAGATGAGATTTGCTCCATTTACCAGGCTTATGTTTTTGAGAATGCTACTGATGTATTTATGCAATTATAAAGACAATTATTTATTAAATGCCAGTTACATAACCCTCTAATTATTTTTATAAAATCTTTACACTTTTGCTCCTTTAACAAAAAGAAGCGTATTGCAGAACCAGAACCTCAGTGCGAGCGGCCATCTTCCTTAACCGACACACAGACAGAAAAACACACAAGTACTGGTTCAGGAGTGCTTTCTATGTAAGAGGTAATGGCAGAAGTAATTGGAAGGTGTTATGTTTAAACAGAAACTGAGAGATGATAGATTTTATGGTAAACTGCCTGTAGGGCAAAACGCACTTCTTCTGGTGCTGCATATTTGAAGTGCAAACATGCAGAAAAAATGGTGAAATGCACTACAAACACTCCAAAACACAAACACACGCAAAAAAAAAACAAAACAAATACAACAGTAAAACAATGCAAATGCAATTACTGTATAGACAATAGAAGCAAAGAGAAAACATGCTGCAAATAGAAAAAAACAACTGAAATTGTAAAACGTTGCAAACTCATAAGTGCATCAGGCCACTATAGGAGTCTGGAGTAGGACATATTACCAACTTGCTGCTCTTCTATAATATTGTAAAAGACTCGGTTTGAAAAACTAATGTAAACTTGTAAACTCAAGTATAACATACAATTTTCTTCTGGAGATCCTGTCTTTACTGAGTGTCCAGTTCATATGATTTTGGGGTCAACTTCCCCTAGTGTTCTGGAAGATTTCCATTTTGTGGCGCAAGTTTGCAGTGTTTTATACTTGCTGTTGTTTTTTGCTATTTGCATCGTTTTTCCTTGTGCTTCAGTTTTCTGCAGTTGCAGCATTTTTTTGTTGCGTTTGTTATTTATGCATTTGAAGTGCAATTTGACATTTTCAATGTGTTTGCACCTGCCATCCACCATAGAGAAGTCAGGCTTAATGCTCTCAGTTTGTACACTGAATAAGGCAGGAAACATGTTACTGCTGCATCAAGTGGTTTCATAGCAAAACAGGAAAGAAAGTCAACCAAAAATTTGTCACAATTGACTGCAATTTCTTCCTAGATCAAAATCTATCCACCTTATTCTGGGGAGGCTTGTTGGGGAAATGATTATGGGTCATACTTCCAGTGCACACCGGTGTGTCTTGAACATGCTCCCAGAACAAAAGTGGTAGTTTTCATCGCCTACTGACAGATAAGGAAACAAAAGAATTTGGCTGAAAATTCTAAACTTGAACAGGGAACCCAAATGCTTTATGTGTGCTCATTTCATTGTGTGGATAGAAAGCTACGGGAAGAAAACCTGCATTTGCATCTGAAGCAACTGAGTCAGTGAAGTAGCTAACTACGCTAGTGCAGGTTATTTGCGGCCATTTCTTCAAGTCGCCATCCCTCCCTGCATTAGCTGTAGGTAGCGGTAAACCAATATCTAAGCAGTGATAGTTGGAGTTCCCACATATTTTATAGCCTAAAACCTCTGTGGAAAGCCAGTTAGTGGGTTGTTAACATGTAAACAAATGGCATTTTTGGTTAGTGGTGGAATTTGATTCTATAAAACATGCAAAACCTCATGGGAGCAAGGAATAAGGTGGATAAGGACAGCTTTTTTCCAATCCCTATACAATCAGCCCATTCTTGACACAAAAAAGTGCATTTCTTTTTGTGCTGTTTTGGAGAAAAGTCGCACTATTAGAAATGTGAACTCCAGCGTTCCTCTTGCAGTCTGAAAGAAAAATGTGAAGAAAAGTGGTTTAAAAAAATACCTAGTCTAAGAATTATTAAATTGCTTAAACTCAAGCATGTCAATATGAAGCATAAACGTGTATAATATTTTACTTTTTCCCAATAGTCTCCAGGGTAATCAAAATGCCAAGCATCCCATTCTCCTCCCTTTTTCAGATACTTCCAGTGCCTTCCGAAGTTTGGCCTGTTTGCTCCCATCCACAAGGTGATCCGCATTGGTTTCCCCTCCACCAGCCCGGCCAAGGCCAAGAAGAGCAAGCGGGTGGCCATGGGGGTCTCCTCTCTGGCCCACAGCCCCAGCAGCTCCTCCATCAGTTCAGTCAGCTCGGTGGCCTCCTCTGTGGGTGGACGCCCGAGCCGAGCTGGACTGGTAAGACGGCTGCAGTGCGCTCCAGGCTCACGCTGATAGCAGACGGGCTGTTTCAGCATGAGTGTGACGAGCAGTTTAAAGGATCTGTTTGGCAGGCAGTGGTGTGTGTGTTTGTTTGCTCTCTTGTGGAGGGTTGGATGAGCAGATCTCATCTCTCATGTCTTGGTCGGTCATACTTTCATAAAAACCAAGCCAGGCTTCCCCCTACAGATTGTCTGTCACTTACTTAAACTTCTGAAATCTCTGAAATGAAGCCACGACTGATGGTCAGAAGCATCTTTTGAATGTTTTTGGCTGTGTTCAGTCAGCAGCCAAACACAACTTCTTCATCACTCGGCTCGGCTCAGTTCAGATCGTTTCACAGCAAAAAGTATGATGTGTACCACTTTTATAGGTAGAACTAAACTGCATGTGGATCTGATTGTTTTCGGAGCGTCTTTAGTCTAAACGCATCTTTTCTGTCTTTTACGTCATTGATGTGAGAAATACGTTATAAACCTGAACCAAATTCTGAAACGATGCAAAAACCTGTGAAGACACCGAGCACAACTTTGTTCTTCATAAAATATAAACCAAAAATAGAGTGTCGGCAATTTGATCAATAGACAGGGGTGCCCATTATTATTTGCGTAAACAATGCACCGCTGTGAGATGTCGATGTTATTCTGGACGTAGAGGTCATAGAGGTCGCTTTGGGGTCATAAATTGTTCAAACAGACATTTTTACATTACATTTTTTTACATTTAATTAGTATGAACCATTACACACACAAAAAATCAGATTCCAGCAAAATATCAGAAATTGAGCATGAAGACTTGCTTTGTGAACGAAGCCAGAGTTGGAGCAAAACTCATTACAGGGTAGCCTATCTCTATCTCTAGTGGTTATTGGGTAAGTAAAACACAGGTTTATCACAAGTTTCATCTTTAACTACAGATGTCATACATTAAGAAATAGGCATTTTTCTCTACGTTCATCCAGTTTTTTTTTGTGTTAGTTTTTTGTTGTTGTAGTGAATTCTCTAGAGTGGAGAAAACCTAACTGGAATTCATTCCCATTGCATGTCAACTTTCAGTCTGCTCTATAAGCTGTATATCTCCATTTTAAAGCACTGTAAAAATACCCAATAATGTAAACATATGGATTCCTGAAGGTTCTGTCACTCAGGTTTTAATTACTTCTTTCCCACTTTGCTTATAGTTTTCTGTAATTTCCTGTTTATATGAGGCTTAAATGCTTATTTGTGTTGAAAAGAGTGATGATGTGGCCCTTCCTCCCTTCTTCCCAGAAAAGGCAGAAATAAGTGACTTAGCAGTATCTAAATTTTTGGTTTATTATTGAACATTTCTTCTTAAGTGTCATTTTCAGACATGACTTGTTGGGGTTTTCTCATCTAATTGCAGAGAAAGCAAGTAAACATGGTTAACCAGGCTGGTTCAAACATTCTGCAAATTGAAAGATGTTAAGATGTCAAGCAACTGGTTTAGCCACAGCCTAAAAGAATCATCATCTCATTTCAGACGTATTGTCTCTTTAAGACGGAGACTCAGAGTGGTCCTGGCAGCAGACTGAAGTAGATGGGGCATCAGAGTATCTCACATTGATTTTTAGCTTTTGGTTACAAGCCAGCGCTTGGACGGAGAACACTCCCCTCTACTTTCCTTAATTGTTGGCAACGGCGTCAGACAGCACTGAAAGCAAGCTTTGTGAATTCTCTGGCGAATCACCCTGACTAAGCACCAGATATTCAAAAATATTTGCCCTGTCACTTTCATTTAGCAGAGCATTAAAGAACAGAGGATTTTCTAGTATCTGTATGACTGGTGTGTTGGTAGAAATTTACATTAAATGCATGTAAGAAAAGGAGTATCTCCAAAAATATTTTCATTGTTTGTTCTCTCATTTGGTTACTGAAGCAAAATCCTAATTTGTCTGGTTAATTCTGGTAAAAAAAAACAAAACAAAAAAACAAAAAAAAAACAATCAGCCTTACAAAAATCTTCTGGAAATCTTTGAAAAGAGTTCCCTCTAGTGGACAAACAACGTGTTGCATTGTGAAATATTCAAAAGTAGGAAATGCATGGTTTAAATGCCATTTTGGAGTTTTTGTTTATGCAGTATGCTCAAGAATAATGAAAATAAAAGTAATAGGTTATAATATGTTTGCTCGGTTTGAAAGATTTTAATTGAAGTAAGATGCTGGCTGTGAACTTATAGATGAAATTCTGACTTGTTAATGTTGTGATCTCTGAGACACTTTATTGTCACTTTTGCCTAGAGATATTATACTGAAATAATTTCTGGATTTTTTAAGAAGAAGAAGAGGATGTTTTGATCCAACTCTTTATTCATAGGGGTATTTTTGGACAGAAGTGGGAGCTTTTTTTAAGTACTAGGTCCACTGGCAGATTATTTTACTTATCATAAGACATGTTTTGCATGTTATGAGATCGTCTTCCAGTGCAACTAGTACTTTCTATTCAATATTGCAGAATTATAAGAAACTCCTATATCGTTCTGAGAAGTTACTTATAAGTTAATTTAGTCTTATTTCAACTGTACTCTACAAGATATAGACAGAAAAAAATGAGTCAATTTTTGATCTTAAGAATGAAGATATTTGCACTCAAAAGTCAACCAAAAATACTTGATAATATTTTGTGTTTTTGCAGTGTTTAAATTTTGACCTATGTTTCTGTCACAATACTGTGATGTTTAGGATAACATGGTACGCAGCAGGTTGGCAACAGACATCCAGGCAGGTGATTCAACACTCGTCTCTTAATGCTTCGTCTTCCTTCTGGCTTTAAGCTGACGGAGACGTCGTCACGCTACGCCCGGAAGATCTCCGGCACCACGGCGCTCCAGGAGGCCCTGAAGGAGAAGCAGCAGCACATCGAACAGCTGCTGGCCGAGAGGGACCTGGAGCGCGCAGAGGTTGCGAAGGCAACCAGCCACATCTGCGAGGTGGAGAAGGAGCTGAGCGTCCTCAAGGCTCAGCATGTGCAGGTACAGAGAGAGTCTGAGTATCCGCTGCATTTTAACGCAACAAATCAGAATCAGTCGTCGTCTTTTGTGTTCTCAGTACGTGACGGAGAACGAGAGCGCCCTCCAGCAGGTCCAGACCATGTTGGCCAGCACACAGAAAGACAAGCTGGAACTGGCCAATCAGCTCGAAGAGGAGAAGAGGTGATGTCACTCACTCGCCTCTCTGATAAAACATGCAATGTTTAGTTGAATGTTGTCTGTAAATTATTTGAGATCGGAAACATACAGTCCCTGTAAAACGTATTCAGCTTCCTGGATGCTTTACCTTTTTTATTGCTTTCAGAAATCAATTATGATCCACAAAATCTGGCCTTTTTTGACACAACAGATACAAAAAAAAAACTTTAAAGGGGACTTGTTATGTAAAATTCACATTTACAAGTTTTTATGCATCTATTTTGGATCTCAATGACCCAAGCGTTTTAAAGAACCACCCAACTGTTTTTTGGCAATAAGTTAATGTTTCTTGGTGTCTGGAAAATGAGTTGTTTCAAAAACCTTTGGAATTTAATGTAACAAGTCAACTGGCACTGCCCCTCAAAGTTACTGAGCAGCTTGTTACTGAGCAACTCCATCACGTTTAGTCAGCTGATTTTACTGCTGTATGCGCTGTACAATGGCTGCTGAAAAAACTAATGTTTTGTTTACTTACCATCCAGAAAGCACTTGCTGCAATCTTGTTAATTGCACAGGAGGCTTCACTTCTGCTTTTCAATGCAGCCATTTTTACATGTAGATGTAAACGTTGAGTTGGGGGGCGTGGCCAGCAACAGCTTCTTCGGATGTAAAGCTCATTCTGAAAACCAGAGAAATTAAAAAAATAAATTCCCAGTGAGCGAGTAAATTGGTTTTCTGTCGGTTCGCATGATTGCTCCGAGTCATTTGATTAAACTTTGTCCTTGGCTTTCCTCATAATAATCAACATGTTTAAACATTTACAGGAAAGTGGAGGACCTCCAGTTCAGAGTGGAAGAAGAGTCCATCACCAAAGGAGACCTGGAGGTAATCGTCAAATATCCACTAAAATAAGTATTATCATTAAAGAGTGAACATTTTGTATTTCTATTTTTAAGGTTTTCTAAAAAAAATAATCAAAAATTATTTTGAATTAAAGATTAAAAAAATGTTTCAAATATATGTTACTGATAGTTTCACTGTCAATGTTCAATGCAATTATACCATGAAAAACTGTTCAAACTTGAATTTGTTTTTATTGCAGCTTTTTTCTAAAAATAAAAAAAAACATCAGCTGAGCCATTGTATTCAAAAGCACAGTTCCAGAAAAATTTACAACTGACAGCTTTAAGTCACTTCAGTTTTCAATTCAATTTATTTATATAGCTACAATTCCCAACAAATGTCTTTTCAAGGCACTTTACAATTCAACCATACATGCATTCAAATTGATTCTTTCAAATTTTTGCTTTTGTTTTGTCTTTGAGTTTGTTTTTCTGCATGGAGGTTAGGATTATTAGTCACAGAAATTAATGATCACTGATGACTGACTCTTTCATTTTTTTTTTGAATGATTGTTAAGACATTCAGAAGAAACTCACAGGACATCATTCATGTTAACATGTTGGTGTAGATCCAGGACATGGCAACCCAAAACATTTGTCAGTTTTTCTTCTTGAGACGTTTCTCACAATTTTTCCGTGGCTCTGTCAAGAACTGACATCTAAAAATCCATTTCATAGATTCTCAAATACTGTCAAGTATTAATGGCAAAGTGCTCACGTCACTGAAGCCTTCAATTCATATTTTATTGTACTTTGTCAATGAAATCTTCAAACATTGAATCGTTAAAGGACTGGCTTGTCTTTTGTATTAATCGGCTATAAAACAGAATGGGATCTGCAAAATGCTGACTTGATGAAATCCGAACGATCTTCAGCTTCACTCGGATCATCTGTTGCCACTCCGTTGAGTTATTCCTCTCTGATCTGCATTCGTCTTTTTTTCCCTTTCAGCCTTTCCTTTTCTCTTTCCTTTTTCTGTCTGTGTCTTTGTGTTTTTCCGTAGACTCAGACGAAATTGGAACATGCCCACATTCGTCAACTTGAGCAGAGTCTGCTGCTCGAAAAATCGAGAGCAGAGGCGCTCCAGAAAGAATTAGAGAGGCGAAGGGTAAAAAGCATGAGCCCGCTGCCTGTGCTTACTGTCCTGTGGTGTTCTGCCTCTTTGTCAACAGCATTTTAAACAAGCTGCTCTGGTTCAAGTCATGTCCTGTCTGCCTTTGATTTCCACATTTTAATTTAACCCTGAGGAATGCTGATTATAAACTTACAGAATATTAATTTAAACTGAATTACCTGTGTAATATAGATGTAATTGAAACATAATTGGGATTTTTTGTCAACTGTCAGTGTTGATCTTTGTCTGTGTTTCCAGTTACTGAAAATATCTTAATACTGGTAGCTGATCACTCCTACAATTGATTTAGAGTGACCATTCATAATTGTTATGGTTTTAGACTGTAGGAGGAAGATGGAGTACCATGAGAGAACCTATTCATGCTTCAGGAGAGCGTGTCAATGACCAACAATATGTTTCCAGCTATGCACCTCTGTGCAGCCTAATGAAGTATTAACTCAGCTTATTTTGTCCGATTTTAGTTAAGTTTTGCCTTAGCTTCACTTATTTTAGCTTATTTAAGTTTAGTTTTTGCCATTAAATTTTACATTAGATTATTTTAGCTTATCTTTATTTCTGTCTAAGCTTATTTAATTTTAGCTTAGTTTATGTTAGGTTAGGTTAAGATATTTTAGTTTAGTATAATTTAGCTTAGCTTAGCTAAGTTTTGCTAAGCTAAAACTTAGCTTTAGCTTTGCTTATTTTGTGTTAGGGTATTTTAGCTTAGGTTATTTTATCTTAGTTTAATTTTTCCTTAGTCTATGTTATTTTAGCTTAGTTTAATCTTTCCATAGCTTAGCTTATTTTAGCTTATAGGGTATGGTTAGGGATAAGGCTTGGGTAAGGGAAAGGGGATTTAGTTTTTACCAGGTTATTATTTTAGGATACTTTAGCTCAACTTACTTTAACTTACCTTCGTTTAGTTTTTGCTTTATTTATTCAGTTTGTTGTATCAAATCCCAGATTTAATCATTTCCTTTGTACTTTTGTAAAGTAGAGCAGGAATAATAAAACTACTGATGCTATAAAACAAAGTGACACATAACAAGCAGGGGGACAGCTTCATTGTTTACTTTTTGCACTCTCCAGGATCGATGTCCTTTAGCTCCATATCCATTTTTGTGTGGTTATGTAATTTTTAAAGTTTGTGGATGATTGTGGGATAAATCATAGAGATAATTTCCATGATGTCCTGTGTAGTGCCTTGAAAGGCTGCGCTGCACCTCCTCGTGAGAGTCTCATCAATCATAAATAGGGTGCAACTTTTTTTCTTTTCTCTTCAAGATAACTAATCATTTTGAAACACTTGATTACTGCTTCTGTCAACAGGGAAGACGCAGTCATGTTGCAGAATCCTTGAGGTTGGGCAACAGAACCAAGGTGAAAACAAAGATGCCATCTTGTTTTAGCTTTGATCCGCTGCTGAGCTGTCTCAACTCTCGACTTCAAATTGACTTCAGATGCTCTCGGCGACATTAACCTTGCATAGTGCATAGATTCTTCCGTTTTCTGGTTTCACTCCTGTGTTTCTGCATCTGGATGTAGTTCAGGAGAATGTGTTTAAAAACTCTGCAGGCGATTGTTTTCTCACACGGTTGTACTGTGTGTCGTGCAGCAGGCCTTTTTGCTCGATCTTCTCTTTGAATACAAATGTGTGTGTGTGTGGGGGGGGGTGTGTGTGGGTGTGTGTGGGGAATGTTTACAGAACTGACACTTTTTTCAGGTTTGTTATTGGCTTCCTCACATTCGCTTGGCTGCTTTTAGATGATCAAACAGAAAATGGCCTTCTCTCATCTTCTGGTTCTTTGGACAGTGACACATTGATCATTTGGCTCATTTAAACATTTAGGAAACGATGCATTGACTTTAATATCTTTCAGCTTTTATTATCCTGCTGGTACCATTACTTTGATGCTAGTCTCCTGAAATAAAGACAAAATTCTCTAATGGCTATCAGGATAGAAGCTATTGAACGCATCAGCAAGATTTGGCTCTAATAATGAAAAAGACTTAAATCTCACTTAATTATTGCTTTTACATTAATAGGGAGGAAATCTAGCTGCATAAATTGTTGCTTAGGATTATAAACCTGCAGACAATTATCACCTGGTCCTCCTTATTCATGGTTTTGGATCCCAGGCTGTAAATGGCTTTACATTTACAGCCTGGTTAATTAACCTTGCGAAGAACAGAACAATGTTACGCAGCAGGGCAGCAAAGTCAGCAAAGTCAGCAACAATCTTCTTGAGGAGACGAATAAACAAATCAACAGGGTTAAATGCTGGTTGAATATTGACCTTTCACTAAGTTGTAATGGCTTGGTCAGCTTGCAAATTTGTACCTTTGTGTTTCATCCAGCCTACTTCAATTTCATGCCTGTAAACAAACAGTGTCGTAACGATCAACTTAACTGTTTTAAGTATGTTTATATTTGACTTAGGAGATGGGTATTTGATTAATTTTGGAGTAAAATCTCTCAAGTCTTATAAAATATGTGGTAGAGCCACATAATAAATGCTTTATGACAGTTTGCTCTTTTCCATATCCAAGTTTTTGGGTGTAATATGGAGCTCTAGGGAGTTAGTATCAACTCAATCTTAAGTGTCCAAAATGGCGTCAACATCAGCCAGACCATTGTGGATGAAGATGACGTCCAGATCCTCTGAGACTAATGGGTCATTGGTCTGATCCTCAGAGACTATGAAAGACTTGGCATCAGCTGGACCATCAAATACTGAAGAGGGACTGGTCTCACCTGGACTGAAAACACCTGGAGCCTCACAGATTCAAGAAGTGACTTCATGAATCTTGGCATTGAAAGACATGATCACTGGAGTTTTGGAGACTCAAAACTTAATGTCTGAAGCCTTGGAGACTGAAGACACAATGTCTTGAAGATTGAAGAGATGATGTTTGTTTGGAGGACTTCTGGAACTTTGGAGGCTGAAGACGTGGAGGCTTGGAGACTGAATTGGTGTCAGCTCTCACAAGTGTTTTCATGAGCAAGACTATTGGAAACTGAAGATGCGCTGGTGTCACTCAGATATCCATAGACTAAAGAGACAATTGGCTGAACCTTCAGAGCCTGAAAGATATTTGACTGGACTCGCTGAGTCTAAAGAAACAACTGCTCCCTGACCCTTAGAGACTGAAGAGGTGTTAGCTTTATCCTTGTAGACTCAAGAGCCATCTGCATTCACCTGACCCATCAACAGGGCTGTGGTGGTGGCTCTGCTTGCTATGTGGAGGATAAATCAGGGAGCTGAACATACAGAGGGCGGAGGTGACTTAAAAGAGGGACTGCTTTTCTATGTATTTAGTTTGAGAAAAAACAGAACTTAAGACTTGCCATCCAATAACTTTTAGCTGCATCTCTTCTCCAACTCCAACATGCCTGAATCAATTGATATGTTGTAATGACAAAAAGCTAAACAGTGTTTTTAATCAATGGATGTGTTGGACTATGAGAGGGAGCCAAAAATTGACCAATCTGTTGCTGTCCACATATTTTATTTATCATTTATATCCACTGCAATGCACTTTACTGCCTCAAGTCTTCAGCAGTTTCTCTTATGATTTCCATTGTCCCGAAGCCTGATCTCTGCTTGTTTCCTGGCTTAGATTTTCTTTGTTCTGCGGGTTGCAGTTTGAAGTTCTTCACCTTCAACCTTTAAAAGGAAATGTCTCAGAATCAGTGATGGAAGTTGTTTTGTGTCTTATCAGCAAACCACCGTAGAGGAGCAGAGTCGCATCATGCAGCTGGAGGAGGAGCTCGCCCTCCGAAGGGCTGAGATCAAAGACCTCCAGGTTCAGCTCAGACGGGTCGACGTGAGCTCCCAACAGGAGGTCCCGGGGACCGACGCCAAGCCGGAGACCGTGCTGCTGCGTGAACAGCTACTGACGGTGGGCCGCGAGCACCACAAGGAGAGCAGCGAGCTCAAAGAAAAATACGAGACAGCGTTGGCGGCAAGCCAGCAGGAGGTGGAGTCACTGAGGACGGTTGTGGAGAAACAGAGCGCTGAGATCGGCGAGATGAAGCAGAAAGTCCAACAAGCCACCAGGGAGAACGTAGAAATGATGGACTCCTGGAAGGTACTCTCTTACTGCTTGGTCTTCAGATTGTAGAGCTTAAGGTAGAACAACAGCAACATTTCCTTACTTATTACTTCAATGGCACTTTCTTGATGTCAGCCTAAGTGTGACTTGTTTTGATTTTTGCACAGACTAAGTTTGACATGTTGGTGACTGACCATCAACGATCCTTGGAGGAGCTGAAGGCATCACTGAGCAGAGGTCAGTCTGCTCCACAAGGCCAGGAGCAAGACGCCCAGGAACTGAGGACCACTCTGGAGAGTCTAAAGATGGAGCACCAGCTGGAGGTGGAGAACTTGAAGGCCAAACACAAGATTGAAGCCGCCGTTCTGATCAAGGAGCGCGAGGATCTCTTCAATCGCCTTCAGGAGGCCAGAGACCAGCTGAATGAAGGAAGGTCTGACATGGAGACTCAGAGCAGCAAGGCGGCGCTGAGCGAGGCCTCCCAGAAGCTGCAGAGGGCGGAGGCTCAGCTGGCAGAGATGGAGCTGCTCCAAGTGGAGCGGGACAAAACAACAACAGAGCTTCGAGACAGACTGGAGCTGTCAGAGAAGAAGATGACGGACTACCAGGCCCTGCAGAAGGCCCAGGCTGAGAGCCAGGAGGAGATCCAGAAACTGGAGGAGAAGCTGAGGGTGACAGCAAACCAGCTGCAGGCTGTGCAGGCAGACCACTTTAAACCTCACGATGCAAATGTAAGCAGCTGAGGAGAAGATCTGAGCTCACCATTACTCTGCTTTACCCTCATGTCGAATGTTTTTACAGCTCTTTGTTCTGTTTCAGATGATAGAAGATAATGAAATTTCAGATGAGAAGAAGAAACTGAAACAGAATATTGAAGGTATTTATATCCATTTAGCAGTAGGTTATCTTTTGCAACATAAGAATTTTCTTGATAGCACTTGTTAGATTGGTAATGATCTTTTAAAGTACTGCATGTATGAAAACAGATGGAATCTTGATAGAACAGAGAAAACTGATTTGCATTGCAGGCGCAATTAATTTTATATGTCTGCCTTCATAAGTATGCAGAACATATGCTCATAATCAGTAAGTGCAAAACATTGGGAGGAGTTTATACAGATGTAATGACTGCAATGTGATTTATTAAACCTGAACCAGGATACAGGAGTTGTGCTTGCTTCTACGTTTAGCATGTTTAAAAAGCAGGCGCAAACTGACTCGCAACAATTTCTGCAGTCGCTGTGGCAAGAATGAGGCATGGATGTAATGACAGAAGATGTTTTTGTCAAAATATCTGAAACATTTAAAAAGTGGAAAATAAAAATATCAATTTTGATTTGGCCCAGAAAAAAATGATGCAGTTTTTATTCGTCCGCTGCATGTTCAACAAATCCTGAAGCAAAAGATGAGTTAAGACATGTTAATGAGGGGGACTACTAACAGGATTTATGCAATGAAAGCTTTTTTTTTTGTCTTCAGAAACAATGGAGAAGTTGATGAAAAGGGAAAAAGAAGTCTTCACACTCTCTTCCCAGGTCGAAGCTCTGAAAACACAGAGTGGAGGTAAATGTTGTTGAGCTCTGATGGTCTTCATTCTTTTTCACATTATACACAGATGCTATATCTCAATTAAAATAAGGACTTTAACATATTTTACAAAAATGTTGATTTCTTTCTTGTTTAGATGTTGAAATGATATTTAATGTTACTCAAGCACATTTACAAATAATAAAAAAAATAGAATATTATGAAACGTTCAATTTTGTTTTGTCAGCCATTCCAGGAAGTGAAACTCGTATATTGTGTAGCTCTGCTACACAAAGAGTGAAATACTTCAAGAATTTATATGTAACAATTGGAAATGAAAAGCTGAAATTCAAATTAAAATATGACATCATATGAGAAATTATATTTTGAGCAGAAATGTCAAGCTTCTGGAAAGTTTGTTCATATTCAGTATTTTCTCTCAGCTTTCTATGAACATGCTTGAATACAGAACTCTGAAGCAGCTTCATTAGCAGGGTGTGGCGTTATGGAGGATGTTAATAACTGTCCAGACAACAGTTTTCTCCACTATTAAAGAAAGCTCTGCTGGTTTTTTGAGTTAGCTAAGGATTTAAATATTTCATTTTTTCACAATATTCTAAATTTGTGATTGTCAAAATTTTGTGTTTGCATAATCTGTTAGCCATAATCATCAAATTGCATCTATATAAGATGAGCTTCATCTCCTGAAAATGGTTGACAAAAATATTTGACTCTCACGATATTCTAATTTCGGATATGAGCATTGCATGTGTTTCTAACCACTGACAGAGTTCATGCTGCGGTTCTTTGCTTCTTTGGAGTTTCTTTCTTTTGATCTTTTCAGAAAAATCTTTTGAACAGCTCTGTGACATCAAACAGACTCAAAATGTGCTCGACCCAGCTCAGATAATCAAACTGGCGCCCTCTGAAGAATGGTCTTAAATCATTTATGGAGAAAAATAAGGTTTAAAGGGGCTGTCTCTCACAGGATAAAATTCATTTTTATTGTTTTAATATTTATTTTAGAATCTAAACTTCACGGTGGGACAAACAGGAGAAAATCTCATTACTTCTGATTTTGTGTTAGAGGTCAGAGTAATGGTAATAATGGTGAAAAATAGCTTTTTGATTGAGGTTCTGACACATACTTAGGAGAGGGATTTAAACATAAGCTAACATATTATTCCTCTTCGGAAAGCATTGTCATCAAGAGACAAAGGTAAAGGGATAATTATCCTAAGGAAAGCATATATTTAACCTGGCTTGTTCTAGTTTAGTGGCTGGCTAACATACAAACCACACTGCATCAAGTTCTTTTCAAATATAACTTTATTTTCCTTCTGCATTAGCTCTGGAAAGTAAAGTTCGCTCTGGGGAAAAGAAATTTGAAGCTTTAGCCAAGGAGAAGATGCGTGTGGAGGCGGAGCTGGAGGCCATGACCAAGAAGTCCCATGATGCATCAGGGCAGCTGGTCAGCATAAGCCAGGAGCTGCTGAAGAAAGAAAGGTAGCTGCTGGATTGATTTTTCAATCTCCTCCAGGACTCACTGGATAACTGATGAGAAAAATCAGCAGAACTGTATGGGGAGTAAGAAACGTTTTCCCATCAGTTTGATAGAGATGACTCACTTGGAAACAGATAATTTATTGATTTTATTGTGCTTATTGTGACCCAGTGACAGGTCTTCTGATTTAAAGCAAGATTTTCTCAGAAAGGAAATGAACTCCATAGACAGTAAAACTCACCGAAATGGATTTATAAGAGTGATGGGCGGTAATAATCTTTAAAGCAACTGAAAGAAGCTGCTGTTTTTATTTTTTTAGTTGCAGTATAGAAACTGTAATTAAATATTATTTTGAATAACAGTATTATTTCAGTAATTAATTAATTCTGTATGTATTAACTTTTCAAATCTTTATTGCTGTTAATTGTGGTGTTTTTCTTCTTAGACCTGATAAAAACAGGACAATTAAGATCAGAATATTAATCAGATCTGTAAAAAACATTTTTAATAAATGTGGACTTCCCTGCTGAACGGTTGTTATTTTCAATTCTTACTTTTAATCAGACAAACAAGCCTCATCGAAATGCATATTTTAATTTATCGACTGTTTGCTCAGTTCATCAGTAGTCTGGATTTATTTTATTTGAAATCTATTTGTTTTAGGGGTTTTTGCCTCAAAAATAAAATGGAGACAGACCACATGTAGAAAATTATTATATTCTTATATTAATACTAATAATTTTATCCAGAAAATGAGCACAGTTTGCATCTGGCTTAAAGTGGAAACATGTGGATGTGTTAACTGAATATAAGAACTTTTATCATCCTTGGCGTTTTAAATCTAATTAATAATGATGTTTTTGTAATACTTTTGCTGTTTTGTGAATTGTAATGTTTTTCTCTTTGCTCCAGGAGTCTGAATGAACTGCGGGTGTTACTCCTGGAGTCCCACCGCCACTCTCGGGACGTGGAGAAAGACCTGAGCCGAGAGGTGCACAAGGCTGAGTGGAAGGTCAAGGAGCAGAAACTTCAGGACGACATAAAGACCCTGAGAGAAAAACTGCTTCTGCTGGTGAGAACAAACAATGGCTTTGATTTAATATCACACTAATCGAAATGAATCGGAATGACTCCAAGAGCACCAGTAATATTTTTTTATCTTTATCTACTGTTCTTGGCAATTTGTTGGAAACTGTTTTTGTCGTGAATTAATTTTTCAGAAACAAACATCCCATAGAAGAAAATATGTCCATCTTCTTTTTTCAAAACTTCATTTTTTTCATTTAAAATAAGAAAAAAAAAATATAGGCTGGATTAAATATTAAATAAAGGTAGCTGTTAAGAAATATTAAAAGCCTGTAAAATGATTAGTAAATGTTCTTTGTTGTACTTCAGAACAAACACAAAATTTTACCAAGTTTTTTAGTCTAATTTCTAGTGCAAGTATCTTTACACACTTGTAATAAGACAAAGCACTATTCCCACAAGAACGTTATTTCACTTCCAACAAGACCTTCCCTCATATTACTAGTGAAATAATCTTCCAGTGGAACTGCTTATTCATCAATATTAAGGAATTGTTGACTTAAATCAAGCTTACCGGAAAAACTATTTGTAAGTTAATTTTGTCTTATTTCAGGTGTGCTTAGATATTTGCTCTAGAAATTTGACTAAAATATTTTGTAAGATTTTGTGTTTTTTCAGTCAACCTGTACTGTTTGCCCTAAATTACCACAGGGACGTTTAATAATCATCTTTCAGACTTTTATTATTTAATAACAGCAATATTTCAGTCAATTGTTATTTATTGTGGATCCTAACCTACAGAAATGGAGGTTTAGAACTGAGCTAGATGTCAAAGTGTTTACTTTGGTTGTTAAAGCTCATAAGACATATACTTGGTCAATTTACGGTTGTTTTGTTGGAGGCTACTCAGTGTCTCTGTTTGATGAAATATTGGCACTGTTATCTTACCCTGTTTCCTCTCCACAAAACCGGCGGGAAAACCATAGCAACCACTAACTCAGTTTTTATATCTCACATGCTTCTCCATTTTTCCCAGGATTTCTAAATCTTCTAAAACAGCAACAAATGGACGTTTTTATCACAGCAATAACTATGTCTCCTACCATGACATAGATTGAATTTAAAAGTATGTTATAAAATATCAAAATTAGTAACTATAAAACAGAAATGATCGGTTATTCTTGGATTTTGGGTTCCTGTAATCTCTGACATTCTGTATCCAGCAGGTTTACTACCATTGGCTTATATTAATTATTCATCTCATGTGCGTTTGCTTTTCAGGGAAGGGAGCGGTTGTCTCCTGACCACAGGCGGTACTCTATGCTCGACCCGTCAGCTCTGGACTCGGAGGTTAGCCGCCTGCGCCAGCGGCTGCTCAACACTGAGGACGCCCTGAGGAACGCCTTGGAGCACAACCAGCAAGTCGACAAGCTTGTCCAGGCCATGCGAAGACATCCAGATAAGAGCCAGGTTAGAAAGGAGTATGCATGTTCTTTCAAGAAGCTTCGTCTGTGTTAAAAGCTGGAGAGTGGATTGCTTGTTGTCAGTTGGGGGAATTTGAATGGGAAGCAAAGCTAGTTAGAAGATTTGCAAAAGTCATCCACATTCTGACTGTTTTTTTGTTTTTTAGCTCTTTTCCTATTCAAATCAATAGGAAAGTAGACCAGAACATGTGCATTAACATCTTGTAGAAGAAGACAATTTTGTCAGAAAAAACAAGACTGTAAAATGAGCCGAGCCCAGACTTAGCAACACAAGCTGAGCTCCAACATGGTTGGTCAGCTGGTTCTACTGCTGTGTGCGCTGTACAACTGCTGCTGGAAAAGTGTTTTGTTGTTGATGTGCCATCCAGAAACCACTTGCTGCATTGTTGTTGGTTGTGCAGGAAGTGCCACTAGTGCTTTTCAAAGATGTATAGTTCTATAACTGGGCAATTGTTCACAGCCATTTTTATGTAATATTGTAAATGTTGGGGGGCGTGGCCAGCAGTAGCAGTATGAAGGGCTAGTTTAATCATTCAAACACCGATTTGCTTTGTAAATGCTAAACATTATCATGTTATGTAGCATTGCTTCCTAAGGTGCATTTTCATTCAAATTTTTCATATATGCTCTACGAAAAAAATTGTGAATAAGTCGGAGTTAAATTCCACAGAAAAATCCTTGATTATCGACCCGAGAATTGGCAGGGGTCCTGTGTAATGTCGTTACCAGGCAGATTAATTAAAATTCACTCAAATATATCTGAAGTCAGGCACTTTCATAGGGCACTGGATGTTTAAATGTTCTGCTCAGACATTTGTCTACATGTATAATTTCTGTTTGTTTGGGGTTTTTTTCAGGTTCTTGGTGCAAATTCGGCGAATGGAATTCATCACCAGGAATCAGACAGCACTCAAGAGGTTGTTGTTGTTTTCTACTGAAATGTTATTTATCCTTAATTTTTATTTAATTACCTGAAAACAAATAAATTAATTAAAAATTAAAAAGAAACAGGAGAGGGCAGTAAACATACACGATGGGAGCCATTGACAAACCCAGAAATATTTTGTCTGTTACTCATTGCCATCTCACATCTAAGCATCAGAAAGTAGAAGTGGTTTTGCTCTCTTGCTAAAACCAAATGCTTTCAACTTTCTTTTCTAGAAACAACACTGATGGAGGCAGCAGCGATGATGGGGTGGGCGACTCCAACGTGAACCCAGACTGACGTTGGGACCTGCAGACGGGAGCAGAGCGTCTCCCGTCAAATGCCTGAAAAACTTTTCCGTTTACAGTCAATGAATACCAAAACAGTGAATTTATATGTTGTTGCAGAATGCACCTAATAGCCAATCACGAAGATCACTTAAAGTACTATAAAGTATGGGACATGAAGAGATATTATCAGTGAAATAACTGCTGAGAACTCAAGAGAATGGCAGCTTTGGATGCTTTACAGTAGTTAGAAAGCTTCATTCAACAAGTCAGCGAGAACTTCTATTTTGAAGGAAGAGCTATCTGACTGACTCTTGGTCGCTTTCTTTGTTTTATTTATTGCTGTTATTTTTGACATTTTGCTTTCTAATAATCCTCTGTACTGCTCGAAGAAACACCCGAATTCTGACGTTTCTATTAGATTCTGACTCAAGCTGATGTCACCGAACTGTAAAGGTCAAAACTCCCTGTGTAGCGCACACAAGCAACAGAAATGTTATCTCTTTTTAATCCCTTCATGATTGTAGTCAGGTTGTATGCATTGTATAAATTTTAGATGTCCCTTTTATAACATCCCTATGAATGAACCAAGTGTGGCCCAAATAGAACAGAACAGAATTTGCAGCGTATCCTTTTTTTAAAATCAGTCGCAACAAAAGTGCAGAAACAACCAACAAGTCACTCCAACCTAAATAAACAGAGTTACCAGGAGCAACTATGTGTCTTAATATAAACGTTAAATGCCTTTTCCATCCTTTCAGTGCATTATTATGAAACAACAAGCCAGCAGTGGAAAGCATCAGTATGCTTGCAGTTGTCTGATATAAACCCACTGGGAACTGTAGTGAAACACCACAGTGGAGTTTTCTGATGTGGATTTAATGCTCTTGTGGACCAGCGGTGGGAGAACCAGTAGAACCAGCACCAGAGGACAGAAGTTTTCATTTGGACTGAAGGAGTTGTGTAAAATCAGGCACATAATGTCACTATGACTACATTCACACATAAACAAGCCAAATCCGACTTTTCACTGCAGTCTGAACGGCTCATTTCCAATCCTCTCACCCCGCAAAATATCAGATTTGTGCCACTTTCATATGTAGTAATATATCGGATACGTGTCTGATTGTTTTCAAAGCGTCTGCAATCTGAACGGTTGTGTTGTATTTCATCCAACTTTTACGTCTTTGACTCCCGTCGTAATTCTGTACCAGATGATGATGATGATGATGAAGGCACCTGGCTTTTATTTTAATTGTCCACTTCCAGCTGTCAGCAAATCCATTTGCATATTTGCCAAATATTTTTGGTCTGTACTAAATATTTAGTTTTAAGCTAAATATTTAGCTCAATGACAAAATATTTAGCTTGATAAATAAATATTTAGCTCACTAACTAGATCTTTAGTTTTGTTTAGAAACTAAATGGTTAGCTTGCTTACTACATTTTGAAGTTAGCATTTATACATGAATTCTAACTGTATAGCAAATTTACACCAAATTTTTGGTGTAAATTTGGCTATGAAAAATGAACCCCGATCCCCTCCCCCTCGTCTTTATGCCAGGCTAAAGACCAAACTTCTTGTTGTTTACTTTTGACTGTGACTTTCCAATCAGGACTCCATATCAGTCCACTTGTCCATGGACAAGTTTCCAATAAAACCAAATCAGAAGCTGATCACTCACCCCAATCCTGAATCCCTGGACTGGTCACCACTACTGCCGTCGTATCTTCAGTTAAAAATGTTGGTTGTGCATTTGCATTGAATGGCACTCAGTACTACCTACCTACTAGCATTGTCGAGAGAGACATTGACATTATTCTTGGTATTATGGTTTGGGGGGCCACAGGAGCCAGGTTCTCCCATGTTTCTTCTCAGCTTCAGATCCAGTGAAGATTTTCTGGATCTTAAGGGTCCAGCTACATGTGCTGGAGTGGTAGCATTGACTGTATGACTCTTGATTTGTATCAAATTATTTCTTAAATTTGCCCCACTCACATCTGTGAGCTCGTGCTGCCAACTCGGTTATCCATGTGGTCAGATACTGTAGTCACTGCATTATGGCTACACATGAGCTTTCCACTGGTTAATTTCCCACCACTCTGTGGTCGTCTAGCTCTTTTTGTCAATGGCTGTACAAAGTTAGAGAAACTACAACTTGACTGAAATGCAGTTATGATTGTGAAAAAGTATTCTGGCTTTGCTTCTTTTGTCACATTTGAATGTTTCAGACCATCAAACTAATTTTCATATCAGACTGAGATAACCTCAGGTGTATCAGGCGTTTTGCTGACATAGGGGGAATTTTTGAAATGTGTGCTGTTTTACACATCTTACTGGTGCAGTATTTCAGAAAAAAGAAGATTATGCTAACTTGGTAGTGGAAGTAGTTTGATGGTCTGGAACTGTCAAACTAGACAGACAATTGTAATTGTGATTTATTAAGTGCATACTTTTGGCTCCCTAAAAGAAAATCCCAAAGGAAAATGTCCAGGCCAATTTAGATGATGTACCAAGACCGTAAACAAGCCGTCGATGTTCTAAAACTGTCCCTTGTGGCTAACTTTAAACAATAAAGGGCCAACAGTGTGGCAGTTGATATCAACCAAGTACAATCAGTTATTAGACATCACATTTTCATGGAGGCCAGGTTGGTTTGGACAGGTACTTTCCCATGTCATCATTTGAAAACTGATTTTCAAAGACTGACCACTGCCTATTCACAGTTTAATATTCACAGCTTTACTATGAAACGTAACTGCAAATTATTTGCGAGATATTTGCCTGTTCTATTTAGTTTTTTGTAAATATTAACAGAAATTGAAACTGTGGAAGCTGAAATACCTCAGCACAATACCACTAGACTTGCTTACAGCTCTCGTTTGCAGAGCAGCCAATCCGGAAGCATCATTCATTTTCCTTGGTGCTGATTGCCTGTACCACCATGAACTGAGATAAGGAAATCATTTGATGTTTGATCCTGCTGTAGTGCTACGACGGCTTCCATTGTGTGTATTGATACACATTTAAGTATATTTGGTGTCCGAACTATTAAAATAAGCAATTGTAAATGTTTTTAGAGGGGATTTCCAGTATTTGCAAATAGCGGCCATAAAGTACATACCATAATTTACTAGTTTATAAATTAAATTATACACTACTGAAATCTTGTCGTTTTCTCTGTCCTCCTTTGGAAATAAAAAGAAAAAAATCCAATCAACAGATGCGGATCTTTAATCTCAAAAACATTTTGGTGTGACAAAAAACAGCAAAAACTGAAAAAATGTCTAACTTTGGGAATACTTTTTCACAGCGATGTACCTCTGCAGGATTGATATAAAAAAAAAAAACAGTGTTGAATAAATACACTACATCTTCCTTTGTTATACTATTTTTAGGTGGTTGCTGAAGGATGCTTTTGAGTTCGTCCTTAAAATCAAAGTTGCTTGGACTTGGGATGCAAAGAATTATGACAAACTGTCAGAAGTTGATTAGTTCATCCCAATTAACTAAAAATGTCCACTTAAACCTTATTTTATTGTTGCAGTGTGGCCGCCATCCAGAAGAGGGCACCGAAGGTCGTTATTGAAAGTGAATTAAAGATGGCGGGGTATTCCAGTACAGGATAAAGAAACGGGCCAGAGGGTCTCTGGTGTGTGATTTAAAGATTATGCGGTTCTTTTTTGTTACAAGACAAAAATCTGGGTTTTAAAAAAGTGGCGACTTATCAAGTAATTGTTAATTGATCAATAAGAACAATTAGCTTCAGATTAACTCCCTAATTGATAACTTGCATCCCCAGCTTGGACAGAAGGTGGGTGATGATGATCCTGGAAAGCCTACAGAAGAGGGCCGTCCTTCAAAAAACACAAATTATTGTAGTAATTCTTCATTTACGGTGGACTCTATCAACACAGATCTCATCCATTTAGTAATTCATGATGTTTTGTTAAAATGGCAGCCAACATGAGCCCATTCTTGTGCTGTATTATTAGAAGTATACCTGCAGTGCTTTACTGACCCCTGAAGGGCTGCCACACAAACTGAAACCCAAACAAACAGACAGACAGATGTGGGATGATGAAACTCACCCAGCCTCTGATTAACAACACGAGGCTCTTGTTTTGCGCTTATGCTGTAAAGTCTTCCAGAAATTGATTTATCCATGTCTCATCTGAAGCAGAAGTTTGTTTTGTGGGTTTGCTGGAGACATGAACCCATATTACATGGCAGCATAAAGTTGAATTTATGCTGCCTTGCATTAATACAACTGGATGTATCTGTATTTGGCCTCCTCCGCTTGCACCCTTTGGATTATTGCTGCAACAGTTTTGGGGATTCAGTCATTAAATATTAACAATGTGACTGAGAGTCTGTCAGTTTTGTGTGCTTGTTTTTGGGCTCTGGGTTGCTTACACAGTCCAATCTGTTTTTTGCTGAGTTTGAGCAACTGAAACAATATTCACAGAATTTATTCCACAGCAAAACACTTTCTATGAAGCTGAACTTGTGATGCAGATGTTAATCCAAATCTGAGTTTATTATTATCCCCAAATGTGTTTTCCTGGTGGTAAATTTAAAGCACCCAGTAAGAGAATGTTTATTTTTCATTTCATTTCCTGGAGACATTTCCTCGTATCACTTTTATTTGTTGGCCTGGCAAAATGTCAGCTCTTATCTATGTGTCCCAGTTTTTAAAATGTGAGGGCAAATTAGCAACATTTAAACAGCTTATGTTTTGACATAAAAAAAAAAAAAAAAAAAAAAAAACAAGCAGGCCAGGCTAACGTCCAAAAACATTATGTGAAAAATAAAATAAGATTTATTATGAGTAAAGTTTGTACTTTGTTGATGGGTTAAACCACAGTAATAAATTTTCTTGTGGATCAACAATTTCTATTTATGTCCATTAACTTTACTGTACATTAAAAGCCAGATTGTGTTCACCGAAACCACTTAGAACAGGTGCTAATCCTAAAAATAATTTAAAAACTCCACTACTATCCCATTATGTCTGCAATCAATGCAGAGGCATATTTAGTCATACCGGGCCCCTCTTTTCATTTTTATCACTCTTGTCTAAGACTTCATGTTGTGTATTATTGTTGGTGAGTACTTTCAACCTGCAATGGGATTTTGACATCCAATCTTCAAAAAGGTGTTTCTAACTTTTTAGAAGAAAAAAACATTTTAAAAAATGTGTTTTGGAAAAGCTCTACAGTGAGGGGATTGGATTTAACTGTAATGTATTAAATATGGAAACAACAGTTCTTAAATTCAAAGTCCATCCCAATTCATTTTAAATAGTTGTTAGAAATAGGTTAGTGGGACTCAAAACTTATCATGGAGGAGAAATTGTCATTAAGATGTGCACATGTTTTGAATGTTCAAAAATACATTTATTTTCATTACACCACAAGAGTTCTAGCCTATTTTAAACAGTTAATGCATATTTTATAAATGCAGTATTGGAAATAATTTTACTTTCAAAGTGCAAAATTTGTAAAGTATAGATCAGAATATGACGACCGATGATAATAACTGAGCAATAAAGACTTGGAGTAGAAGTGGGAAGTAGATAATAATATATTTATGAGTACAGAAGGGTCAAATATCAGTGATAAAAACCTGAAAATCAAAATTTATGGAATAGTGCAAAATCAATTAGTTGAACTCAAAATGAATGGGAAGCACTGCTCTTGACAAATTGTCAGAACTTTCAGAATTCATCTAAATATTAAAATTGTGGCTCACATTTCTCAAAAACTGCTGCATATTACAAGGAAATGTGCTGCTACTGTAAACCAGAATAGCAGCAGGTAGCAAGCAGAAAAGATGAGCTCTACTGAGGGAAGCAAAGTGCAGCGTGGACCTTTGAGTAAACAAGGACACAAATGTGCTTTTTGGTTTTTATGAAGAACAACGCGTGAAATGAATTACTGTTGAAAGTGTTATATATGTCACTCTTTACTTTTATAGTAGGGAACTTATAATGAAAACCTAACCATACATTCCTGATGGAAGGATTAGAGAAGAAATGGAAAATCCAGGTAATTAAAGGTTAAAGGTATTTGAAAACTAAATCAAGTCTAAGTGTCTGCTTATTTGTCTTTTTTCCCCTATAGAAATAATTCTTAATTTAATATTTTTCTATAACTAAATAAACAAATAAATACTCTTGTTTTTGTTGTTTGTAATCATTAATGGGCTCAAGATAATTCTGACTAAAAGCCTGCCAAGATTTAGGATATTTTAATTTTACTAAAAAAAAAAAAAAAAACTAATTTAAGATTTAACTTTTTTTTTACCCTTAAAAGAAAGCACCTGAAATTGTAGCACAAATGAATAATCCAGATTGTGAGTTATCTTTTGGGGCCCCAGTTGGGGCCGCCCCTGTCGGATCAGGGATTTCCTAAAGCAGGACAGAGTTTATGAACTGGATGACAGGATTTTAAAATAAATACATCAGTGCATAAGTGAATATTTGTTCCCTTTGCTCCCTTGCTTGTGTCCAGAGGTTGACCCGTTAATCCTGTATGTAAATCGCAGCCAATGGATGCTGCTGTTGAGCTGGGCTGGGATTAGCAGGAGACGAATGAGTTTCAATTTTACTGGATTACAGAACAAAGAAAAAGGGGAAAGGGACACCCTGCTCTGTTAAGGGGCATAAACAAGAAACAAACTCAGAAAATAAGACAGAAAAACACTCGGCTGCAGGAGTCGAAGCCGTTGTCTGGAGAGTGATGCGGATTACGGTGTTTTAGCGGACATTGTTGGATGGGAATTGCGGCTGTTTCTGATGGATTAAAACGGGGGAATAAACCGGGATTGACAGCAGCAACAAGGCTATTTAATCACTAATTAAGGTGGGATTTTACAACTCTCTTTTAGTAATTCTAAACGTGTTGATTGATTCATTCAATATAGCGTGGTTTTTGTAGTGACAGCGCGGTGAAAATGTACGGATTATAACCTAATTTCTGGACTGGGGGAGGAGATGAAAGGCTAGCGTTAGCAGGCAAGCTAACGACTTGGAGCTAGCTGGTTAGTTAGCTTAGCATCTGTTTTTGACCGTTAAATGACCCAAAACGGTCACTGAGACTAGGTTTGGAGACTTTATAATGAGTTTTCAGATATTTCTTTTTGAATAAATAGCTAGACTCTGTTTTTAAAACGCGCAAGCAGCCGCTGTCTGTCTGTGAATTATTCTGGCTATCGCTGACACGAAGGTTACCCAGCTAACAACAAAGCCAGCTGGCTGGACGGGAGGTTGCGCATTTTAAACCGAAAGCGACGCGGTTGAAGTGTTACTGACACCTTAATAATGACCGTGTTGCACCGTTAGTTACACGTTCCTGTGTAATGTAGAGCTGTCATCGGTTACAGCTTGTTTAAAAAGTCCTAAAAACTTAAAACTTGAGGGTATTGTTTTCCAGCTCAAGACAGACTTCTGACAGGTTTTGAAATTTCTGACTTTTTTCTGCTTTACTTCGGCTAAACTACTCTTTATATATTGGTTTATTTAAATACAGCCTAAGAACACCTGTAAAGGACAGATTGTATGAGGAGGTCTGGAGTGTCAGATAAGTATATTAGCGTTGCAGCACAGAGGGCAGGAAGGCAGCAGTGAGGTGTGCTGTAGCTGTTGCAGGAGGAGGTGGGGCTGCATCATGGATCCACTCTAAAGCCTTTCTTGTTTGCTGACAGATCAGGTCAAACAGAAGTATCCATGGAATATGTTATTTCCAGTTGACATTTTGACCTGCAGTGTGAGCAGGGTGCAGGTAGCGCTAACGCTACAGTAAACAAACGTAAACAAAATTCATAAATTTTTTGCTTTCCACTTTTCCAGGCTTACATTTTCAGTTTAAAACATTCCTGAACAATATTTGAAGAGAAATTTTGTTTACAGAGACATCCATATTACTTATCATTTTACTTTTGCATGGTTTTTATTTCTGTTTTATATTGTTTTCGGTTATCGTATTTTGGATATTTAGAACATCTTCCAGTTCCAGTATTAAACTGGAACTGGAAGATGCAGGCCTTGTGCCTGGTGTTACCTTGGGTTTTACACCATGCAGATTTTGTTTTTGTTTTTCTATTAAGTCTTAAGTTGTTCAAACTTTGGTTTAACATGATCAAAATGGGGGTGGGTTTAGAGATTGCAGTATTTTTTGATTTAATTTATCTTTAATTAAGATAAATTAAAGATACTAACATTTTTTTTTTACAGATACTAATGTTAATGAAAATATGTTGTGCATTCTTAGTTTTAAAATATTTGAAAACTAAAGAAGTAGTATTTGTGCAAACTAGTAAAAACTAGGAAATTAGTCCAGAACATATTTGGAATGAAAACATTTATAGCTGATCTTCTTATTTTTTTATGCCTAGGAACTTTGTCAGGAAGCTTTAACACTTCATTATGTTTTCTTTTCAGTTGTCCATGTGTAGTTTGCTCATGTCAAGTTTACAACAACAGCTTACAGAATGACTTGTTTTCTCGCTTTAACTGTGAGAAATCAAGTTTAAAAAAAAGCCTCAATGTTATTTATTGAATCCATTTCTAAAGTTCTGTGGTTGTTTTTTTTTTCCAAGACATTTTTGTCCATCATTTTTCCAGCCCACAACTCCTCCAGACGCCATGATGGGTAGTTGATAGACATAAGTCTTGCTGCTGGCCGCATATTTCTCAGATCACAGTTTATTTCCTTGAGTTCCTGCTGCTCCTGTCAAATAAGCTCTAGTGCTTCACTTGCATGGAGTACTTTTGTTGTTGAAGTGGAACAACTGCTGTTACACAAAAATTGTGTAGTTATTGTTTCAGTTTGCCTTATTGAGCATTCTGAACATGACAGAAATCAGACACAACTGAAGCAAGCCAGTTGAATTTATTGACCTCATGTATGTTACTATCGTCCTGCATTTGATAATAATGGGGGGGGGTTGGTACCTACTTCAAAGGGCAGATTTGAGGACGGACACTGTTTTGGTCCACATCAGAGTTCTCTTGCGCATTCACACTTACCCAAATGAACCGGACTTTCTAGGCAAATGAACTAGAGTTCAATTAAGGCGGACTAAAGAGGGCTGGAGGGAATGTACCCTTAGAAAGACAAGTCCTGTTTTTGATCTGTGGGATTACCCAGAGAGATCAAGTAAGGATTCAGAATACAAGCTAACAATGGTTAACAATACTGGCTAGCTCCAAGGTCAAGGATGTGGTTCTCTTATATTTTTGATGGTGATGGACCAGCTAGATAGGACTAACTCTGTGATAGATTACCTGTCCTGCCAGCAGCTGCCCCCTGTGGAGTGGAGGTCACACTCTTAGGATGTGCAGATAATTAGCAATCTCTTTC